AAGTATTTAGTCAGTCACCGATAGTGCAAGTTCTCCCACTTAAAATAATGACAGAGGTCTGTAATTTTCATCATAGGTACACTTCAACTGTGAGAGACAGAATGTGAAAAAAAAATCCATGAATTCACATTATAGGACTTTTACAGAATTTATTTGTAAATTAAGGTGGAAAATAAGTATTTGGTCACTTCAAACAAGGAAGATCTCTGGCTCTCACAGACCTGTAACTTCTTCTTTAAGAAGCTCTTCTGTCCTCCACTCGTTACCTGTATTAATGGCACCTGTTTGAACTCCTTATCTGTATAAAAGACACCTGTCCACAGCCTCAAACAGTCAGACTCCAAACTCCACTATGTCCAAGACCAAAGAGCTGTCGAAGGACACCAGGAAAAGAATTGTAGACCTGTACCAGACTGGGAAGTGTGAATCTACAATAGGCAAGCAGCTTGGTGTGAACAAATCAACTGTGAAAGCAATTATCAGACAATGGAAGACATACAAGACCACTGATAATCTCCCTCGATCTGGGGCTCCACGCAAGATCTCATCCCGTGGGGTCAAAATGATTATGAGAACGGTGATCAAAAATCCCAGAACCATCCATCCATCCATCCATTTTCTTCCGCTTTATCCGTTGCCGGGTCGCGGGGGCAGCAGTCTAAGCAGAGACGCCCAGACTTCCCTATCCACACACACCTCCTCCAGCTCGTCCGGGGGGACCCCAAGGCGTTCCCAGGCCAGCTGAGAGACATAGTCTCTCCAGCGTGTCCTGGGTCTTCCCCGGGGCCTCCTCCCGGTGGGACGTGCCCGGAACACCTCCCCAGGGAGGCGTCCAGGAGGCATCCTGAACAGATGCCCGAGCCACCTCAACTGGTTCCTCTCGACGTGGAGAAGCAGCGGCTCTACTCCGAGCTCCTCCCGTGTGACTGAGCTCCTCACCCTATCTCTAAGGGAGCGCCCAGCCACTCTGCGGAGGAAGCTCATTTCGACCGCTTGTATCCGCGATCTCGTTCTTTCGGTCATTACCCAAAGCTCATGACCATAGGTGAGGGAGGGAACGAAGATTGACCGGTAAATCGAGAGCTTCGCCTTTCGGCTCAGCTCCCTCTTTACCACAACGGTCCGATACAGAGACCGCATCACTGCGCACGCTGCACCGATCCGCCTTGCAATCTCACGCTCCATTCTTCCCTCACTCGTGAACAAGACCCCGAGATACTTGAACTCCTCCACTTGAGGAAGGACCTCTCCACCCACCTGGAGTCCCAGAACCACACTGGTGAATGACCTGCAGAGAGCTGGGACCAAAGTAACAGAGGTTACCATCAGTAACACACTACGACGACAGGGAATCAAATCCTGCAGTGCCAGACGTGTCCCCCTGCTGAAGCCAGTGCATGTCCAGGCCCGTCTGAAGTTGGCCAGAGAGCACATGGATGATACAGTAGAGGATTGGGAGAATGTCATGTGGTCAGATGAAACCAAAGTAGAACTGTTTGGTATAAACTCAACTCGTCGTGTTTGGAGGAAGAAGAATACTGAGTTGCATCCCAAGATCACCATACCTACTGTGAAGCATGGGGGTGGAAACGTCATGCTTTGGGGCTGTTTTTCTGCTAAGGGGACAGGACGACTGATCCGTGTTAAGGAAAGAATGAATGGGGCCATGTATCGTGAGATTTTGAGCCAAAACCTCCTTCCATCAGTGAGAGCTTTGAAGATGAAACGTGGCTGGGTCTTCCAGCATGACAATGATCCCAAACACACCGCCCGGGCAACGATCGAGTGGCTCCGTAAGAAGCATTTGAAAGTCCTGGAGTGGCCTAGCCAGTCTCCAGACCTCAACTCCATTGAAAATCTGTGGAGGGAGTTGAAAGTCTGTGTTGCTTGGCGACAGCCCCAAAACATCACTGCTCTCGAGAAGATCTGCATGGAGGAATGGGCCAAAATACCAGCTACTGTGTGTGCAAACCTGGTAAAGACCTATAGTAATCGTTTAACCTCTGTTATTGCCAACAAAGGTTATATTACAAAGTATTGAGTTGAAGTTTTGTTCAAAAAATAGACCAAATACTTATTTTCCACCATAATTTACAAATGAATTCTTAAAAATCCTACAATGTGAATTCCTGGATTTTTTTTCACATTCTGTCTCTCACAGTTGAAGTGTACCTATGATGAAAATTACAGACCTCTGTCATTATTTTAACTCATTGACTGCCAGCCTATTTCAGAACAGGTACTCCCATATTGCCAGCCTTTTCTGATGATTTTTACTGATTTTTCAAGACCCACAGAATATTGTGTACTATGACTATCTGAAATCCAAAACCAGATTCTGAAAGAATGGACTGTCTACTTTCATCGGGAATTTTGTTTCTAGCTTGTTTCGTTCCCCTGTAGTCCCCAGTCAAATAGAGGGAAATTTTACTGAAATCACCAGAAAGCTGAGAAAAAAGACGCACAATAAGTGCATCTAACTGTTTTCAAACCATTCAGAGAGAAATGCTGCCATCTGCTGGCTCGATAAAATATTGCCTTAAGCCAATCCCCATACATATTAGATACAATAGACATCTGGGAACGTAAAAATAGCGGGACACGCAACTGACGTGTTAACACGTAAATGGCGGTCAATGAGTGGGAGAACTTGCACAATCGGTGGCTGACTAAATACTTTTTTGCCCCACTGTATGTCTGGTTGATTTGCCCTTGTGTCAAAACATTAGAACACAAATAGAATGTATTAAGACGTCTTTGGGAGCCAATGTGATCAAATTAAAGATTTATTGCAGTATCCACATCCTGAGAGTGGAAGTTTTGTGGTACTATATGTGCGGGTATGTGTGTGTGTACCTGTGAAGACACAAAGATGGATGGACTTTATCTTATAAAGCACTTTTCAATACAGAAAATACATTTGTACAACATAACGTGCATATACAAGAAGAATGTTAACATGAGGAAAATCCAACACTACTTAAACACACATAAAAAGGCATAAACCCCACGTGTTTGAAATCAAAAGGTCAAGAGGTTAATGGGCTAAATAGATTATTTGAATGTGTCGAATATCAATATAAAACTAACTTTCCTGCAGTGGATTGAGACCGTATAACACGAGATTGTGGCTTCTTTCATTCCATTGGAAGAAGTGCATGTCAATCATTTTGAGGTATTTGCTGTTACTACAGTTGATTACAGTCAATAATGTGGAGTCATCACTTCAAATCAACTTTATGGATTTACTTATTTATTAAGTTCCTGTTTATTATATACTCATGGTGCGTGAGGATGATCTATATTTCTTACATTTGCCGGTGCGCTGTGTATGACGCCATGTTTATGGCTCTTCTTGTTTTTCGCGTTTCCAGCGGTTAGAGAGATGTGAGATCTGAGTCTTACTCATACTTTACAAACAGCACATGGAGAATAAACATTGCTGGATTCAGCTGTGGATATACACACAGTAAAGTCTGTGTAACTTCAGAATTCACTTCAAATAAGTGAAATAAAAACATGTGGGAGCTTCAGGTGCTCACGGTACGTTCTTGACGAGAACTGCTATGAGTAGAATGGAAAAAGAAGAGCTGTGGATGATAAACACTTAAATTTCACATCAATTGCACAATGGCCTGAAGAAGCAGGTGCTCTGAATTAAATTACATTAATTGTGGCCTCCAGAGGCCGCCAGGGGCCCCGGCCCACACTTTGAGAATCACTGGGTTCAACCATTCAGTCAAAACTAAAACTAAACTAAAAGAGCTAAACTAAAACCCTTATACCTATATATTTATAGTTATAGTTATATGTGCCGTTGCCATGGAGACGCAGAGTGTTTATATTCAAACGCTGCTCGCTCGACGCTCACTTCACTTGCTGTTGGACGCTGACACTTGTGCAGAACTCTCTTCATCTCATCTTTGTTTAAGGACCAAGCTGTGATAAAACACTGTAGCACCAGGACACTGTCTAACACTGGTTTGTTGACACTTTTCAGCTTTGAAAAGCTCTGTGAACAAACACTGTTGGCTCTCATGGCTCTCCCCTTCCACGCCCCGGCCGACCTGCCCCTGCCGCCTGGAGGTAACACCACATCACTTACTGATCACTGAAATGATCATGAAATATGGGTAAAAGACGTGATATTCTCACTTTAGTCCATGTGTGGCTGTTTGGATGGACCACATGTCTGTGTCAGGAGCTAACGCTAGCTAGCATGTGGCAGGGCAACTATGAAAGTGCTTCTTTAAGACATAGACTTTTGGTCACATGTGTAAAAGCTGCTGAAAACAGACAAAGTTGATCAGAAAGGCTGTAATTAAAACGTTATCACAGCTTTATCATCAGTATTTGAGTTTTAACATCAAATGTATCCAGTGCTAAAGGTAGATGAGAGCAGCTGTTGTGCACATGTGACCGTGACCTGATCAGTGTTGGAGAAACAGCTCCAAAAGTCACTTGTTCATTTAGTTGTAACTCACTAATGTAACTGGTTACACACATGAACAGAGTAGTAGTTACAACCAAAACATTTCCAGTTACATTCATATCTTCATTAATTGAACCTTTCTCACTGCTACAAATAATTTGACTGAAAGTTCTTCATGCTGTAACAGTTAAATCCATTATTGAATACGTTGACAACTCATTTAGTTTGAAATGAATGGGTTTGTGAACCTTACACAGGGTGAAACATGAAGAGGTTTTCATAAGTCAAACAGTATTTTAGTCTTCATAACGGTGAATACTTGTGTGTTTGACTGTAACTTTGACAAAACAAAAACAGTGTGTGAGGAAGTTGTTCATGTTGTCATTATGTTCCAACAGCGTGGGACGCCCTGCAGGTGCTTCTTGCTGACGACCAGGAGGACGCAGGTGAGTCGCAGGTAAGGTGGGCTTATCACGTGTTGCGTCACGTCTATGGTTTGGACTTGGAGTCTGATGAAGTGGAATTTGACATCCACCACTGGGATCAAGCTCTCGTGCCAGAGGCCGGCATGGACGATGACGCGGACTGGGAGGACTGGGAGGACTGGGACGCCTCCCCCTTGGACGTTTTCTGGGATGAGAACAGCGACTGGGACGATGCACTTGTCCCAGACGATGAAGAGTACGACCAGGACACGAAGAGTGAGGAGGAAGACCAGGACACAGAGGATGAAGAGGACAACCAGACTGTGCCGGAATGGTCCCCTTCGTCTCCCAGTCCAGACCTCGTGCCCTCCCGTCCCCCTGTGAGCTTCCAGGACTTTGTGCCCCTAACAAGGGCCAGGCGCCACAGGGACGAAGAGGAGGATGAAGAGGACAACCAGACTGTGCCCGAATGGTCCCCTTCGTCTCCCAGTCCAGACCTCGTGCCCTCCCGTCGCCCTGTGAGCTTCCAGGACTTTGAGCCCCTAACAAGGGCCAGGCGCCACAGGGACGAAGAGGAAGAGGAGGAGCCCATCTCCAAGAGGCCACGCTTTTCCTACGACGAGGACATCTTTGAGGAGCCCACCCTCTCCGACTCTGCTGGGACGCTGGAAGGCTTCAACCGATACTTCCTCCAGCCCCACCTGCCCCAAGACTCCGACTCAGAGCAGGACTGAAGATCAACCTGAGCCTGAGACTGAGCACCTGGAGGAGAGAAGGCAGCACTTATTTCTACAGCACTTTAGACAGCCAGAGGAGGTCACAAAGTGCTTCACATGGGCCGCACACTCCACCTTCAGCAGCGCCCAATTTCACCTCTGGACATTTATTTATTGATTGATTGATTTATTGATTGTGCAAAGTGTTGACACAAAAAGTAGTTTCTCTCTGGGACAAGGGTTTCCAACTTGTTGAGAGATAGTGTTAGATGTTTCCAAATAAAACATAAACCATTCTCCATGTATTACAAAACATGATGTCACTGAGTAACTTCTCTGAAGAAAGACTTTGGAGCAGCATTTGTAGATTCCCTGAGCCCTTTCACAGGCCACTTTGAAAGGGCTCAAAGGGTTGAAGACCCTTGTTCTAGTATTAGTAGTAGTTTGTTTCAAGAAAGGAGAAGGCAAAGAAAACGATGTAGGACTTCCATAAAGATGACATTTGTTCACAGCAGAAACACATTGAGCATGAGCAGTAAGTAAATAGATGAAGCTGATGTGAGCAGAGATCTTCAGCCTCACTCTGTCCTCCATCGTACTCCTTGCTTTCTCCTCTGGGGAGTCGCCCGATAACCAGCCCTTAAACTTTATACATATAAAGTTTGTTGATTTCTTTATTTATGGTTGTTGGTGCAATACCCACTCCTTTGCTGTGTTTTTGTATTAAAGGAAAGGAATAGTATGTAGGAAGGTAACAAACACAGATCAACTTTGACAGAACTAAAACTAAAACGACTCAATGACTTAACTGTATTTGAGAATGGATGAAAAAAGAGCTTAAGCTGACTCTAGTGTGGTTTCCTGCATAGTACCCCTGGCCTTGTGTTCACTCTAGTGCAGGGCTGCCCAAGCTGGGGCCCATGGGCCACATTGGTCCCTCTGTGGGGTCTAATGTGGTCCTGAAGGGGTGGTGACATTAGGAAGGAGCCTCTGTTTCCTTCAAAAGACCAAATGAATGAAGGTTTAATTGTACCTGTCTGCTGCTCTAATAAACCTGTTTTGATGAGCACACTATTAGCTTTGGCTCTCAGAACATCAAAATCATTTTGTCCCACGGATCAGAAGTTTGGCCACCCCTGCTCTAGAGCTTAGGAGGGTTAGCAGAAGAGAAGGTGGAGCGCCATCTACAGGGTTGATGGTGTGATCCCTCCTCTTTTCATTGTCAAATGATTTCAATGAATCATATTTTATTCATCTGCTCCTTCTGCAGGTCTCGTTGATTAATCCTAGTTTTTCTGTTCATGTAAAATGTTGCGTTTTATTTATGTACGTATGTGGCCATACATACAGAAAAACCGGGGCAACAGTAGCTCAGTTGGTAGAGCATTGGCCTTTGGGCCTGAAGGATATGGGTTCGAGCCCACCGTAATACCTATGACTCCCACTGATGACTGCTGTCATTGTGTCCTTGGGCAAGACACTTAACCCCACTTTGCCTAAAGCCCCCACTGAAAGATCTCAGCTCCTGTGGACTCACCACCTGCAGGAGGATCAGTGAGGGGCTGGTGCTAAGTGTACTGGGTGCAGCTCTGACTGCCACCCCCCCAACCCAGAAATGGATTAAGGGGAAGAAAATGGATGGATGGATGCATGTGGCCATACCTGCATGTGAAAGCCAGATCCCATCAGACCTCTGAAGCTGTGCAGGGCAGGGTCTGGTTTGTTCTGTGATGGGAGACCTCTGGGAACACCAGGTGCCACAGTGGGCGGCTGTAAAGTGCCAAACTGTTGTTGTGTCCTTAGGCAAGACACTTAACCCACATTGCCTAGAATGTGTCTGGTGTGTGTTTGTGTGAATGGTTGGTGGTGGTCGGAGAGGTTGATGGCACATACTACTTGCCTCGTTTCTGTCAGTGTGCCCCAGGGCAGCTATGGCTACAGTAGGTGTTTATCACCACCGTGTATGGAAGATGTGCAGCGTCTTAGTCTCCTTAAAAGCACTGTATAAAACCATCCATCCATCCATTTTCTTCCGCTTCATCCGTTGCCGGGTCGCGGGGGCAGCAGTCTAAGCAGAGACGCCCAGACTTCCCTATCCACACACACCTCCTCCAGCTCGTCCGGGGAGACTCCAAGGCGTTCCCAGGCCAGCTGAGAGACATAGTCCCTCCAGCGTGTCCTGGGTCTTCCCCGGGGCCTCCTCCCGGTGGGACGTGCCCGGAACACCTCCCCAGGGAGGCGTCCAGGAGGCATCCGGAACAGATGCCCGAGCCACCTCAACTGGTTCCTCTCGACGTGGAGTAGCAGCGGCTCTACTCCGAGCTCCTCCCGTGTGACTGAGCTCCTCACCCTATCTCTAAGGGAGCGCCCAGCCACTCTGCGGAGGAAGCTCATTTCGACCGCTTGTATCCGCGATCTTGTTCTTTCGGTCATTACCCAAAGCTCATGACCATAGGTGAGGGAGGGAACGAAGATTGACCGGTAAATTGAGAGCTTTGCCTTTCGGCTCAGCTCCCTCTTCACCACAACGGTCCGATACAGCGACCGCATCACTGCGCACGCTGCACCGATCCGCCTGTCAATCTCACGCTCCATCCTTCCCTCACTCGTGAACAAGACCCCGAGATACTTGAACTCCTCCACTTGAGGAAGGGCCTCTCCACCCACCTGAAGAGGGCAGGGCACCTTTTTCCGGTCGAGCACCATGGCCTCAGATTTGGAGGTGCTGATTCTCATCCCAGCCGCTTCACACTCGGCTGCAAACCGTCCCAGTGCATGTTGTAGGTCCTGGTTCGTTGGAGCCAACAGGACAACATCGTCTGCAAACAGCAGAGATGAAATCCTGTGGTCCCCGAACCGGACCCCCTCCGACCCTTGGCTGCGCCTAGAAATTCTGTCCATGAATACAGTGAACAGAACCGGTGACAAAGGGCAGCCCTGGCGGAGGCCAACGTGCACAGGGAACAGGTCTGACTTACTGCCGGCAATGCGCACGCAGCTCTGGCTCCGGTCATACAGGGACCGGACGGCCCTCAGCAGAGGACCCCGGACCCCGTACTCACGGAGGACCCCCCAAAGGACACCCCGGGGAACACGGTCGAACGCCTTCTCCAAATCCACAAAGCACATGTGGACAGGTTGGGCGAACTCCCATGAACCCTCGAGTATCCGATGGAGAGTGTAGAGCTGGTCCAGTGTTCCACGGCCGGGACGAAAACCACACTGCTCCTCCTGAATCCGAGATTCGACCATCGGCCGTAACCTCCTCTCCAGTACCTTGGAGTAAACCTTACCAGGGAGGCTGAGGAGTGTGATCCCACGATAATTGGAACACACCCTCCGGTCCCCCTTCTTGTAGAGAGGAACCACCACCCCGGTCTGCCACTCCATTGGCACCGCCCCCGATCGCCACGCGATGTTGCAGAGAAGTGTCAGCCAAGACAGTCCTACAACATCCAGAGACTTTAGATAGTCAGGACGGATCTCATCCACTCCCGGCGCCTTGCCACCAAGGAGGCTGCCAACCACCTTGGTGACCTCTGCCAGGGTGACAGAAGTATCCGCCCCAACATCCTCAGCCTCTGCCTCCGGAGCGGAGGACGTGACGGGGGGATTGAGGAGAACCTCGAAGTATTCCTTCCACCGTCCGACATTATCCCCGGTCGAGGTCAGCAGCTCACCCCCCGCACCGTACACGGTGTTGGCAAAGAACTGCTTCCCCCTCCTGAGGCGCCGGACAGTTTGCCAGAATCTCTTCGAGGCCGACCGATAGTCATGCTCCATGGACTCTCCGAACTCCTCCCAGTCCCGGGTTTTTGCCTCTGCAACAGCCCGGGCCGCGGCACGCTTGGCCTGCCGGTACTGGACAGCTGCCTCAGGGTCCCCCGAACCATCATGGCTCGATAGGACTCCTTCTTCAGCCTGACGGCATCCCTTACTGCCGGTGTCCACCACCGGGTTCGGGGGTTGCCGCCGGGACCAGCACCAGAGACCTTGCGACCACAGCTACGAGCCGCCGCATCGGCGATAGAGGAAGAGAACATGGTCCACTCAGACTCAATATCCCCCTCCTCCGCCGGGACCTGGGAGAAGCTCTCCCGGAGGTGTGAGTTGAAAGTCCGTCTGACAGGGGTCTCAGCGAGACGTTCCCAGCAAACCCTCACTACACGCTTGGGTCTGCCAGGTCTGACCGGCTTCCTCCCCTGCCAGCGGATCCAACTCACGACCAGGTGGTGATCGGTTGACAGCTCTGCCCCTCTCTTTACCCGAGTGTCCGAAACACGCGGCCGAAGGTCAGATGATACGACAACAAAGTCGATCATCGACCTCCGGCCTAGGGTGTCCTGGTGCCACGTGCACTGGTGGACACCCTTGTGCTCAAACATGGTGTTCGTGATGGACAAACCGTGACTAGCACAGAAGTCCAACAACTGAACACCACTCGGGTTCAGATCAGGGGGGCCGTTCTTCCCGATCACCCCTCTCCAAGTGTCACTGGCGCTTCCCACATGGGCGTTAAAGTCCCCCAGGAGAATGACGGAGTCCCCGGGCGGTGCACTGTCCAGTACCCCTCCCAAGGACTCCAAGAAGGCCGAGTACTCTGCACTGCTGTTAGGCCCGTAGGCCGTCACAACAGTGAGAGACTTGTCCCCCACCCGAAGGCGGAGGGACGCGACCCTCTCATTCACCGGGGAGAACTCCAACACGTGGCGGCTGAGATGGGGGGCAATGAGTATGGCCACCCCAGCTCGCCGCCTCTCCCCGCGGGAAACACCAGAAAAGTGGAGCGTCCAACCCCTCTCAAGGAGTTGGGTTCCAGAGCCCAAGCTGTGTGTGGAGGTGAGGCCGACTATCTCTAGTCGGTACCTCTCGACCTCCCCCACAAGCTCGGGCTCCTTCCCCCCCAGTGAGGTGACGTTCCACGTCCCAAGAGCTAGATGTTGGGTGTGCGGACTGGGTCGCCGAGGTCTCCGCCTTCGACTGCTGCCCAGTCCTCTCTGCACCGAGCCGCCACGGACCCCTCTGCGGGTGGTGGGCCCACAGGAGGGACTGCCCACGTCGTCCTTTCGGGCTGAGCCCGGCCGGGCCCCGTGGGCTAAGGCCCGGCCACCAGGCGCCCGCTTTCGGGCCCCGACCCCAGGCCTGGCTCCAGGAGACTGTATAAAACACATCCACTATTTCTATTATCATTATTATTATTATTATTATTAAATAATATCAGTTGCTGGACAGGAACACTGCTGTCTGACAAAGTTACAAGACAAAGCCTGCAGCTGATGTGACACATACAGAGTATATATTTTACAAACACAAATATGAAGTTATAATGTCTTCTTCACTCACTCATACACATACAACATTTAGAACTTAAGTGTTCATAACGTGTCAGAGTGAAGAGTCTCTGTGGAGATGGTTCTTTGACATTATTTATTCATTTGGGTCTGTGGACAGAGACTGTCAGCTTTGACAGCACTCAAAAAGACAGGTAAATATCATCATGTTAGATAGTTCTTATAAAGTCCTAGTATATGAGCACATGTGACTTTAACTGACCCTGAGTCATCGTCAGAGATGTCTTTAAGTCTGTTTTCAGATTTGTTTTTCCAGTTGGAGACAGGAGTCCGCAGCATCCAGCGTGTCCCGGTGAGTCAGCCTCAAAACGTTATTGAACTCACCATGAAAGAACGACTCAGTCTGTTCCCACTGTTCACAGATGGACCTGTCCCTGATGGACCTGTCCCTGATGCAGCTGTTCCTGATGCAGCTGTCCCTGATGGACCTGCCCCTGATGCAGCTGTCCCTGATGCAGCTGTCCCTGATGGAGCTGTCCCTGATGGACCTGTCCCTGATGGACCTGTCCCTGATGGAGCTGTCCCTGATGGACCTGTCCCTGATGGAGCTGTCCCTGATGGAGCTGTCCCTGATGGACCTGTCCCTGATGGACCTGTCCCTGATGCAGATGTCCCTGATGGAGCTGTCCCTGATGGACCTGTCCCTGATGCCTGTCCCTGATGCAGCTGTCCCTGATGGACCTATACCTGATGGACCTGTCCCTGATGGACCTGTCCCTGATGGAACTGTCCCTGATGCAGCTGTCAATAGGAGCATCAGTGAAGCACCACTGTCCACATCAGAGGAAGGTGAACAAATCCACACAGACTTGACTCATTCCCAGTGAGGAGCCTCCTGTGTCGTCTGCAGCTCTTCTGAACTACAGTCTTAGAACACATTGGTTTGATTAAGAAGGAAACTTGAGGAAGATCTCCAGAGAACTCAGAAGCCACTGGAATGAGACGATTTGACTGGGAAAGTTTGCAGCCGAATGTGAAGCAGCTGGAGTGAAAATGAGTCCCTCCGAATCCAAGGCCTTAGTTCTGGACTAGAGAAGGAGGACTTTCCCTCTTCAGGTAGTAGCACGGTCCTTCCTCAGTGTGGATCTAAAACTGTTTCTAGAGCATGTGATGATTGTCTCTGGGTCCTGTTCACAGAGAGGGAAGGATGGAGCCTGAGAAAGACAATGCAGTGATGTGGCTGCTGTTTCAGGCTGTTGTGGTGAAGAGGGAACAGCGTCTGCACTCAAAGCTCTGGATTTATGGTCATAATCTTTGAGAAATGGACAAAGGAACAGTTGAATAGAAATCCCTCTACTTCAACTGGATGCTTTCTAAGAGATAAGATGAGGAACTTTGTAGAGAAAAAACACTTTGAGGAGGTGAGGGGAGGAATCTCTTGAAAGTAGAGTTTCAAGAGATACGTGCCAGATTAAAATGAACATCTGCATTGTTTTCTTTTCATTACAGGAATCAAAGGCCAGTGTTGGAAAAGTCCTCCTCTTCATCTCAGCCACATTTTCTTAATCTACAACGACTACAATGTTGTACTTCCAGCTCCAGCCACATGTAGTCCACAGAACACAGATCCACATGTGTAAGTCAATATCTGAGAAAACAGCTGTTCACTTTGTGTCTGTACATTAGAATAAACTTGTATTTGTCCAAATGTAGGATCTATTGTTGTGAGAGGGACCTGTGGATGCTGCTGTCCACATCAGAGGAAAAGAGGAACGAATCCTGCCCCACACAGAGACCAGACTCATCCCACGTGAGAAGACCTTCTGAAGGCCTCGGACCAACGGTGAGCTGTGTGTGAGGTCCAGAGAGGCAGAGAAAGGAGCAGTTTTAACCAATGTACACCGGTAGTAACTGGTGTAAAGCTTGGCAGTTAGAGTAGTAGTAGTAGTAGTGATTGTCTTGAATATTTAAATCCCTGAGCAGAAAACAGAGATGGAAGAAAGCTGTGTGTAAAAGTCTGTGTATTCTGAAAGGAATGAGGTGCAGGTTTCAGGGGGTGAAACGAGGATGGCTACAATATTTCTAATATTTTGTTTTTATTTCTGTTGTAGAACTGCACATTGTTTCGTCGGATTGCTAGATTGCGATCTAAAGATGCAAAAGCCAGTGCTAGTGTCTTTGGACCTGTAAAATGGACTTCAGTGCCTCTTGGTAACCTGTGATGTCATTGGATCTCATACCAGAGCCACAGACACGGAGCAAGAGCAGCCTCTCACAAAGATGTACAGGCAGCCCCATGATCTTGAGGGCTATTTGGACCATCCATCAGCAAATTTAGAGCTGTTGGATGGTCCAAATCTACACAGTGGTCATGTAAAGACACTGCTAAACCACGAAATAAGCTTGTGTTCATTCACCTGGACACAAAGAAAGCTTCAGCACCAAGGAGAGCGACACCCCCTGCACCTGACCACAACCCAGCAGTACACCAGAGGAGATAAGATCAGAGCCATGTCTGCTGAGAGCCAACAGAAGTAGAAGTTACAACACAGGTGAGAGCTAAGAACAGCAGCAAATCTTCATGGGGATTTTCAACAAGATTTCAATAGTGTAATTGTCCTGTCTTTTTGTGTCTGTGCAGGAAAAGAAATCTGCAGATCAGAGCGGTCGCTCTATGGGACTGTTGTGGTGAAGAGGGAGTGAGGAGCTGGCCTGGGATCACCTGGTCCAGCTGCAGCAGGTGAAGAGGGAAGTCTCTCTGCTCAGACTGCTGCCTCCGTGACCTGGCCCAGGATAAAGTTGAAGAAAGTGTGTAGATGGATGACTCCAGACGAGCCCAGGACAAGTGACCGAGGGATGGAGAAAGTTCAACACAAGACCGCACTGAGGGAATCCATATGTAGTCACATTAAAAACCAAACAAATATGAAGCTTATGCGGGTGTTCAGACTGAAAGACCGAGTGCCTGCCAATCACACAGCCCGGCCAGCCTCCTGCCAACCCTCTCACAGCAAAGCGGGCAGTTTAAAAGGCAGCCACTTCCTGACAAGCAACGCTTCCTGAGGCTCTTAAACACCCACCACCTCCCCAGCACCCCCTCTGGCTCTTGCTCTGGCTCTGGATCTAGGCTCCTGCTCTGGCTCTGGATCTAGGCTCCTGCTCCGCCTACGCCCCATTCACACCATACTCTAGCCACCACTAGTGCTTGATTCCGGGGGATCTGAGATCATCTTCAGCTGCAATCGATCTCATCGCTGGAAGTGTCACTGCAGGGGTCAATGCGCCAAACAAATAAATCATTTTTAATGTATTAATTGTGTCTTTGGTCTCTTCAGATTGAAATCACTGTTTGTGTTTAAGTGCAGTGTAACATCTACCCAACAGAGGGCGGTGACACATTCTTATATAATAATACTTCTTCTGAGGGGACAAATGAGTTCAAGTGACAAATACTTTGCTTTTGAGTGAGTAGTATTTAGAAGGTTGGGATTCTTGGTAAACTCATGCAGCTCCAGTCATTTGCCTTTGTCCTGTTTATGGAATCACATGTTATGAATCCAACTCGAGGTCAGACTGGACTTGTTGTTCATTTACAATTTGCTGATGACTCATTTAAGTCTTTTTCTGAATTACAAGAACAACACTCTTTGTTGTAAATAGTCTGTTGTTTGCCCTTACTATTCAAACTCCCATAACATCTGCAGAGAGTTGATACGTCACTTACATAATTAAAACCCAACAATATTGTTCTATGTGATATGGTTTTCTTCTTGAAAATAGTTGTACAATGAGACTGTGGTAGCCAATAATAACAGTTTACCATCAGTACCTGGTGAATTTAGGCCTATGGATGCACTCCAACAGGTCAGTGAGTTTAATACCCCTATGAGATAAAATGCACATGCAGCCTTTTCTATCTTTCCAAAAATGAATGCCAGAAATAAAGGCACTATCTCTAAAGCAGACTTGTAAATTTGTATTGATGCATTTTTCTGCAGTAGGTTAGACTACTGTAACGGCCTGCTCACTGATCTCTCCAAACCAGCTGTAAAACAGTTGCAGTACGTTCAAAACGCTGCAGCTCCAGTCCTCAGCTCAGGTCTCTCACCTGAAGTCCTCTCACATTCGTCCTGTGCTCAGAGAACTTCATGTCAGGAGAGAAACCCAGATTAAATATTATATTCTTAAAATGTTTGTCACATAACACAATATACTCTGCACAAAAATAATAATCATAATGTTTTAATGATGCCCAAAGACACTCCATACATGGTGTTGGCAGACTGACGCTATTGGCCCTCATGACCACCACCAATCATTCACTCACACCAGACTCATTCTTGGCAATGTTGGTGAAGGGTCTTGCCTCAAAAACACAACAGCAGTTTGGCATTTTACAGTCACAGCTGCCCCACTGTGGCACACGCTGTTCCCAGAGGTCTCCCATCACTGACCACACTTCATAGGCTAAGGCTTATCCTATGAGTTCTAACAGGATCAGGCTTTCACAGGCAGGTGGCGCCACAATAGACATATGTACTTGAATATGCAAGTATTATAGTAGTAGTATTTTAACAATCTTTTTTGGTTTGGTGCTAACAGATGCCGATATAACCAATAACCAATGTATTGTTGACTAAAAAACCAAGAGATTGGCAAAATGTCTGACCATTTAATGAAATCCAGATTGAAAACTGATATGAATCAGTATGAATTCTATTAGCTGTGGTTACTGATTTCATATACTGGCAATTAAAGACATGTGATTACTTGGCAATCTCATACTGTTCTAATTATGTATGATGATTAGTTAATAATAGGGGCAACAGTGGCTCAGTTGGTAGAGCATTGGCCTTTGAGCCTGAAAGTCGTGGGTTTGAGCCCTCCGTAAGACCTACTTCACGACTCCCACTGATGACTGCTGTCGTTGTGTCCTTGGCCAAGACACTTAACCCCACTTTGCCTAAAGCCCCCACTGAAAGATCTCAGCTCCCATGGACTCACCACCTGCAGGAGGATCAGTGAGGGGCTGGTGCTCTGTGTACTGGGTGCAGCTCTGACTGCCACCCCCTTGACCCAGAAATGGATTAAGGGGAAGAAAATGGAAGGATGAATTAGTGAATAATATTCCATTTTACATGTTCTGCAACTTTTTGTCACTGATTCATGTAAAACTAAGTCATTATAAACACCAAGACCTTTCACCTTTTAACCTGCTTGAAGGATCTATTATTGTGAGTATCGTGTGTCTGGTGTGGAAATATCTATGACTAATGTGTCCAAATGCTTTACAGGACTAGCCCTACATGAAAAGAGCCTCTCACAATGTTTCTGCGATTCACTGGGAAGAAAATGTAAGGACCACCATCATTACTTTGCACTCACACATAATAGATTCTGTGGCAAATACATTTCTAATAACAACAGATACAAATTCAAATATAAACCATAATTGGTCCAACACAATTTGGCATTTTGAGATCCATATGGCTGCACATATTATCGTTTTAGGGTATTTGTAGTTCCAGCCTCATCCTTACTGTAACATTCAGATCCAGTTAGGCCTTGTGTTGTGAAAAGATGTAAATGATTGCCTCAAGTTTTCAGCGCACTTCGTCGATAGTTTCAATTTAACGCGATTAGATCTGAAAGTGGAAATGACCCTTTTAAAATTACCTCCATCAAGAGCAAGGAGACAAGTGGCTTTTTAAACTATCTAGTATATCTATAGCTCATTAGGCCAGCCATCCGTGATAAGCTAAAATGACACCCAATTTATTTTCTCCATTAAGGCAGAAGGGGGAGAGTCAAACCCCACCTGTCGGGCACGTCCGGGGGGAGAGGCCGGGGTTGTGGGTCCCCGGTGAAGCCAAAGCGCAGCTCTTCCAGATGGGCAACCATGCTGTCAGCCATCAGAGAGGAGGCCGGTCTCAACCACACCTGACAAGAATGGTAAGGACGTTTCCCCAGAGCACCGCATGCATGTTCTGAATGTTGACATGTGTTGATTATATTAACCCTAACCCTGACCCTAGTCGGTTACAATTAGACTGATTTTTAAGTTAAGTTTAGTGGAGAGGAAAGCTGCAGTGGGCCTGGGTTCGCTTCCATCTCCAGAAGGGGCCTTTCTTTCTCCTAATTGTTTATCTTTCCTTTTTAATTTTGTATGTGATTTGCATTATTTCAAGGCCTGACAACTCATGACAGATGGCAATGACAATTCAAAACCAAAAAGATGCCCCAAATGCAACCAAAAAATGTCCTCTGCAACTAACAATAATCATACAGGCATCAATCAATAACAAAAGGTAAAAGAAAGGAGAACGGACAAGATAAGATATGTTAAGAATATGTTAGATAGAATCACTGAGGTGTGTAAAAAGAAAGTGTGCAAACATGTTAAAAAGGTAAAAAATGTAGTCTGTTTTGTACAATCTATATTATGTGCGATAAAAATGAAAGTGGCGATAGCAGTGCGAGTATTTTCAGTCCTAGTGCAGGTCATTAATAACGGCTTATTAACCGAGCGCGAGGTCTGTATGTAGAAATATCAAACCGCGGCCTTAATGTACAGACCGAGCCGAGGCGAGGTCTGTGCAAAAAGGCCAAGGTCTGATGTTTCTCTGTACAGACATGTTTTATTATATGACTCTCGTCTGTGTCTTTACCAATGCTTTTGAGATATTTAAGTATGTTCATGTCCGACTTGGTTTTGTGTGATACGCGCTGCGGACAGATTGTCATGGTAACGGTCCGAGGAAAGATATCAAATGTGATACGCGCTGTTCGGACCAATTGTCATAGTAACGGTCCGAGATGGGAAAATATCAGACCGGTAATCAGCCAATCAGAGCGGGCGTACGGTCCAAGTCATATAATAAAGTGACTTATTGTACAGTCTGACACCAGTGGGGATGAAGGCTCCAAACAAGAATATCCGACAGACCAGACACAGACAGAGGCAAGACACAGACAGAGGCAAGACACAGACAGAGGCAAGACACAGACAGACAAGACACAGACAGACAAGACACAGACAGAGGCAAGACACAGACAGACAAGACACAGACAGAGGCAAGACACACACAGAGGCAAGACACACACAGAGGCAAGACACACACAGAGGCAAGACACAGACAGAGGCAAGACACACACAGAGGCAAGACACACACAGAGGCAAGACACAGACAGAGGCAAGACACACACAGAGGCAAGACACACACAGAGGCAAGACACACACAGAGGCAAGACACAGACAGAGGCAAGACACAGACAGACAAGACACAGACAGAGGCAAGACACACACAGAGGCAAGACACACACAGAGGCAAGACACAGACAGACAAGACAGGCAACACATACACAGAAAAGACACACACAGACGAGATACACACAGAGACAAGACACAGACTGAGTGAATGAAAGGACAGTGGTTCTCCAAAAGCCTTGTGTATAGTTTGTGTGATCTTGTTCTGTGAAATGTAAAACAGAAGAGTCCCAACAGTAAGTAAGTAATCTTTATTTATATACCGCCTTTTCACTGCACATTGGAGTCTCAAAGCGGTTTACAATTGTGATTTTTGGGAGCGGGGTCGCCAGTACAGGAGGCACATACCAGACCTATTGTACATATTTTTGGTGGTAGGGGAAACCGGAGCACCCGGAGGAAACCTACGCAGACACGGGGAGAACATGCAAACTCCACTCAGAAAGGCCCTGGTCCAACCGGGATTCGAACCCAGGACCTTCTTGCTGAGAGTGCTATCCACTCAGCCACCGTGCCGCCCAGAAACAGAAAGAGGCGTATTAAAGTAAAAGTAAAATGAACAAATCAGACCACATCATACTGTCTTCATTGCATTAGCAAAATTCTATTTTTTTGTATACTTGCAAGAAAGAGTCAGGTTAGTCAAGATTCACTTTTCTGCCTGAAAATGATCATACATACAGAATGTAAGAATTTTTTTTAGAATAAGGAACTAGTTACATAGATATTATGCATGTATTACAATTTTGGAAATTTGGGTATCCCAGCTTTAAGCATTTTTTGGTATTTGTACCTTACTTCAGTACTTATTTTTTCAAGAAAACCTTTTACTTATTTTTTTTCATTTTTAAGCCCAAATATGTACTTTCTATGTATTTGTACTGAAAATGAGTAGTTACTTTGCATACGATATAAAACCACAGTATTAACACTGTTAGCTGTGCGCGCTGCTCACAGGACAGGAGCTCGCGTGGTCGTACACAGCCCTATCATAATCAACACCATAATTCTGTGCAAAGGATGTTTATTCTCATCCCTTTATTATCCATTTCTGGGTCAGGGTGTGGCAATCGGAGCTGCCACTTGATTCACAAAGCAACAGTCCCTCAAAAAAAAATCGAGAACTTTTCCTTTCAGCTCAGCTCCCTCTTCACCACCACAGTCCAATACAACAACAGCGTCACTGCACACGCTGCACTGCTAGAGAGAAATACACTGTCATTAGTGATGCCCCGATAACACTATTTTCAAAACCGATTTGAGTACATGTACCTTCATTTGAGTAGTTGCCGATACCGAATACCAATACGAGTACTGGATTGTGTTATCCCTGGGAATTCAAAAAACGAATACAACTGAAATTGAAAATGTTTTATTTCTCATTTCAACAATAAGAAAATGCTTTAACAATTAAATATTGTTGCATTTTTTTTAACAGTCAAGAATAATAGCCAATGTCATATTCCACAAATGGTACAAAGAAATAGGTCTGGTGCTAGCAAAGGTGCTTTCAGATGTTTGATCAAGTTGCTGGTGTGTTTATTTTGGACCCACCTCGTGACAGTTGTGCCTTACAGTACAGTCTGCTTTACTCTTGTCACTCTGTTTACTTTAAACTGCCATACGGCTGACATACTGTACGCTTGCCACTAGCTTGCGTCATTATCAGGGAGCTCAATTCATCCATCCATCCATTTTCTTTCGCTTCATCCATTGCCGGGTCGCAGGGGCAGAGACGCCCCTATTCATTCCGGAGGATGCTCATTTTCACCGCTTGTATTTCTGATCTCGTCCTTTCAGTCATTACCCAGAGCTCATGACCAGGTGACTAGGTGAGGGAGGAAAAGAAGATTGACCAGTTAATTGAGAGCTTTGCCTTTCGGCTCAGCTCCCTCTTTACCACAACGGTCCAATACAGCGACCGCATCACTGCGCACGCTGCACCGATCCGCCTGTCAATCTCACGCTCTGTCCTTCCCTCACTCGTGAACAAGACCCCGAGATACTTGAACTCCTCCACTTGAGGAAGGACCTCTCCACCCACCTGGAGAGGGCAAGGCATCTTTTTCCGGTTGCGCCTCGGGGATTGGCCTCAAATTTGGAGGTGCTGATTCTCATCCCAGCCACTTCACACTCGGCTGCAAACGTCCCAGTGCATGTTGCAGGTCGGCAAACAACAGAGCCTTAATACTGTGGTCTCCGAACCGGGCCCCCCCAGCCCCAGGCTGCGCCTAGAAATTCTGTCCATAAAGACAGTGAACAGAACTGGTGAAAAAGGGCAGCCCTGGCGGAGGCCAACATGCACCAGTAACAGGTCTGACTTACTGCCGGCAATAAGAACGGCTTTGGTCATACAGGAACCGCACGACCCTCAGCAGAGGACCCCATACTCCCGAAGAACCCTCCAAAGGACACCCCGGGGAACACAACCAAATCCACAAAGCACTGGTGGACAGGTTGGCCGAACTCCCATGAACCCTCGAGTATCCGATGGAGTGTGAGCTGGTCTAGTGTTCCGCGGCCGGGACCAAAACCACATTGCTCCTCCTGGAACTCAATTCAATTCAATGTAATTTTGTTTAGCCCCAAATCACAACTGCAGTTGTCTCGGGGAACTTTATTAAGTTGTTGATTCGCCAACAACAACAACAAGCAGGAAATGCAATACTAACAAACACATTGGAGCCATTGGTCCATAAGGAGTGGGATGACCAATGTCCATAATTGTCCCAGATCATACCTGAAACATGTTGTCTCTATTGACTCTCTTCAATATCATCAAATAAACAAATTCGTAACATCTACAGGATAAGCTGAATATTATAAATCCAAGATACTTTTGCACGTATACCAACTCTGTCACTGTAATGCTTTATGCTCAACAGAATATGGACCCATTCTCATTCATTTAGAAAGGCAAACAATGACACACAGTTGACCTACAGTGTAAATGTCTGTTGTCCTTTCTGTAGAGTCTCACAGATAAAAAAGCGTGCCCACAACGACCCTCCTCCTCCCCGGCTGGCATCAGTAACTCTGGCTCTGTGCAAATATATCGTAGTCATTTCACTGTATAAATCACCCCGAGCGCTGGCACCCACCCGCGAGTGTCCGGCCAAGAGGAAGAAGGGGGATATCCTGGGACAAGCCGTGTTTTCTGTACTGCTGTAACTCGCTCCACTAATCACAGGCTGCGGTACTTTCACAGTAGAATGCGGTGTAAGAGAAAGTGAGGTGAGGCTGGGGTAGAAATTACGGCTATTTCACTCCACTCTCAAACGGTAATGGGGGTACTTTCTCAAAATGCACCGAGACGTTCCCGATGTCTCAGGCATTTCAAGTGATGGAAATTCGATTCAGTTTAAGTCGGGACACGAGAATGATTGCGTGGATAGGACACAAGGTGACACGCACCCTGAACGATTCAAATCAATTCTCAAAAATGTCACAAAAGTCTGTACACTTTACTGACTTGTATGATTTGTAAGTGAAAAAGGGAACTCCCAGGAAGCTGCATTAGGCCTGAAACACGACATATACAACAAATAAGTGACAATTTATACCTTATATTTTTAAACAATTTCTAAACTTTTTACCCCATCACGCATCCTTACAGTTTCAGAGGTTTTTGTTCCAATTTTTACAAAAGAACACTCATACAAAACAACCGTGTGTGTGTGTGTGTGTGTGTGCGTGCGCGCGCGCGTGTGTGTGTGTGTGTGTGTGTGTTGAACATGTGCAACAGTATTATTTATCTGTAGAATAACAATATGACAGAAAACATTAAAGACATAATACTGAATAGATAATGGTAAGTTTTGACCTTTTGGTAGATAGATGAGAGTATCAGAGAAGGGATGAAGAAGAAATGGTACGGTAATAAATGCAGAATGAGACGAACCAAAATAATAATAATGATATAAATAGCAAAATTAAAAAAAGAAAATAATTGAATAAAATGTTTTATAAAACAGTCTTCAATCTTCAATTCATTTCCTTGTAAGTGGTGTTCCTACACGCTACAAGTGTAAGGACACCAGTGAGTAGCACGGTAGCGCAGTGGTTAGCATTTGTTCAGCTCCCAAATATTTTTATAGAAACATGGCTCCTCCAAACATATATGCAGTAGTTTACATGTACAGTATATAATGAACCCATGTTAAGCTGACTCACATTTCGATAAAGTACTAATAAAAATGAATTTACAAATCCGTAAGAAGAATGGTCAGGTACTCTAGCTCTGAGTGCGTTAGCTTTTTTTTTGGTTTAACTTTTAGAAGCCATGATTGTTGAACACCCGCTTCCTCCAGGCCGTCCTTCAGACAACCACGATTATAAAATATGTTTCTTTGGCCTAATCTATTTCAGAATCAAAATCAACTTAAAGGAATAGTATATACAAATCTTGCCAAAAGTGGGACTGCACGCTTCTTGACTCAGGTTGCCAGATATGCAGACGAATCCAGCTGGGAACATAATCTCTGAATAAAGAGTTTTGTCAACAACAAATCTATAACCAACACCTTTTTCACAAAGATAGAAATCCTGGTTTTATTCCTTGTTTTGTCGTTAATGATTTGAGAATCATAACAAGACCTTTTTTAGTTCTGCGGCCACGTGTTACTTTACCAGTGAGATTAGCTCGACACGATGCATTCTGGCAACCCGGATCACGGATATTCTGATTGGGAAAACGGTGGAGGGCGGGACATTGAAATGAAAACAATAACAAGATTGAGGGGCTGTAAAAATAATTTGGAAATCCAAATATCTCGGCAGAAATACTGCTATCAGTTAAAGAAGTATTTGAAAAGAACATGTTTTTCTAATGCCTTTTGAGATATTAGGAACATTTAATGATGACTTGACATGAAAATCTTACAAATTGCTACTTTAATTAAAACAAACTCAGGAAAAACAAATGTAGCTCATGTAGAATCTTGCTCTTTGAGTCACATGGGAACAGTTTAGTTGTGTGTCAAAACATGGTTTGCACTGATATTGCATTTATAACAACGATACAAAACAACTCTGATCTGTTTTTGGCGAATCGACAACTTTGTAAAGTCCTTCAAGACAAGTTAGGGCTCTACAAAAATACATTGAATTGAATTGAATTGAAGAACAAGTTGTCATGGTGAGGATGGATTTTTAGTTATAAGATAAGATAAGATAAACCTTTATTTGTCTCGCAGTGGAGACATTTCAGTGTCAGCGTTGCGCACATTACAGCAGAGAAAGAATGAAATAAGAGTACTCATATTGCACACATTAGTATTTAAGATGATAGACTATATAATTAAAATAAGAATAAAATAAAATAAACTCTGGGGTTATAATTGCACTTGGTTCAGAAGTATTTACAGATGTGTATATTGTACTTAGCAGCGGAGAATATGAGAATATGAATATGAGCAGAATAAGCATCAGAAATAATAACAACAGGTAAAGTGACTTGCGCACATTACAGCAGAGAAAGAATGAAATAAGAGTACTCATATTGCACACATTAGTATTTAAGATAATAGACTATATAATTAAAATAAGAATAAAATAAAATAAACTCTGGGGTTATAATTGCACTTGGTTCAGAAGTATTTACAGATGTGTATATTGTACTTAGCAGCGGAGAATATGAGAATATGAATATGAGCAGAATAAGCATCAGAAATAATAACAACAGGTAAAGTGACTTGTGACAAAGTTACTAGTGAAGTATCAGTGACATTTGTACAAACTCAGCAGTTCTTGTTACACATTCTCGTTGTACAGTCTGACAGCAGCAGGGAGGAAGGACCTGCGAAACCTCTCCTTCACACAATTAGTCTGTCACTGAAGCTGCTCTCCAGAGCAGAGAGTGTCCTGCAGGGGGTGACAGTCATGGTCCAGCATAGATGTTAGTTTGTCCAGGACCCTCCTGTCCCCCACCTGCTGCACTGTGTCCAGGGAACAGCCCAGGACTGAGCTGGACTTCCTGATGACCTTGTCCAGCGTATTCCTGTCCCTCTCTGTGATGCTGCTGCTCCAGCAGACCACACCGTACAAAATGGCTGATGCCACCAGATCACATTATTTTGTACTTTATTTTGACTTCAGTTCTGTGTTGTTTTATTTTTAATAATTTTACTTCCTGTCCTCATTCCCCTGTGTTGATAGTCTGCCCCTCCCTCATGTGTTTCACCTTTGTCTCTGTGTCTATGTGTACCTGTGCTCCTCTCCCTTTGTTGCCGGTCCATTGTCCTCGTCTGTCGGTTTCCTTGTTTCCTTGTTCAATTTGGATTTTGAAGTTGTTTTTACCTTGGACTTTTAGTTTTATTATGTTTTGTTAATGTCATATTAAAACTACTCAAAATATAAAAGAAAAATAAAGATGAATTTCTTGTTCGGCTCAAATTGTCATTTCTCCTCATTGGAACAACACGTGACAACCAACCCCAGGGTTATGTTTTTCTTAAATTATTATATATATATTTTTTCATTTTACTATTAATAATTGGTCTAAGATTAAGAGATCCTTTATACATCCCACAGTGTTGCATCACAAGTTCCAGACAGTAGGTATGAGAAGCACTTAAAACCTGTTATAGAAATATATACCCCATGAAGGAGGAAACTCAAAGGTCCTTTGTCTGATCAAAAGCGTAAGTTTATTGTTAACGCACAGTGCGGAGGGCCAGCACATCCACTCAAAAGCAGCATGTCCCAGCTCCGAAACAGAGCTCCGAGTTTCCTGTATACAGACACACACGAAAGACAGTCCCGCCCACAACAGAATGGGAGGGGGGGCCACCGGTGAGGAGGCGCCTGGGGATGTAGGTGCGAACAGACAGACAATGGTAGAAAATGCAGGTCATACAGATGCAGACGCGAAAGACACAAGGGTGTGACGAGAAGCAGGATGTAGAAAATGCACACATACAGACCGATAGATATGCAAGAGGCGAAAGGGGGGCGAGAGTGAGACAGTGATTTACGCCATTGTCTGTAGGTGTCGGGGGACCCGGTTCCTTCCTGAAGCAGGGACATATGAATAGAACCAGGCAGAGTTGCTCCTTCCTGGAGCAGGGAGATATGAATACTAGTCGCTTGCCATCACACTCCTTTCCCGTGATAATGTAAAAACCATTTTTGCATTAATCAGTTAAATACCAGAGGCATCGTAATCACACCACCTTCAAGCTTGAAACACTTAAATTATTGCTGTCCAAAGTGGACAAGAAAAGACACATGCTTGTCAATAAAAGAAAGAGCACATTATAATAACACAATGGATCCGGACAGCGATAAGAGAAGGCAATATTAACATAATAAACACGGTCAGCACGGAAAGTAGTGTCAGTGTGGCCAGCATAACAGTCCAAGGGCCCATGCCGGTCTACGTTCGGTAGTCTTTTCCGCGGGAATACTCACGAGCAGTGCCGTCTCGCAGTCAGTGGCACCGCTCCCTATGAGCGTGTGTGGAGCGTTAGTGGTCATGGCGATGTTTGGTCTTGGCGCGGCAAGACTCTATTTGCGTTGAAGCCTTGGCCTCAGCACTCGGTTGGGCAGAGTGCTCGGGGTTTGGGGTGTGGCGACCATGGCTTGAGCACGCTCCAGATCGGCCAGGCCCAAAGCTCATTTGATGGGAGACCTCATGACAGCACGCTTCACCATGTGCCTCATCAGGAACTGTAGAGCAGCCCTCATCTCCACCTCCTCCGGACACACGGGAGACGAGACACCAGGGGGGCACTCCAGCAGAGCTCAAATCTGCATTATGGCCAGAGGGAACAAGCTCTGGAGAAATCTTTGGAATGGGCAGCAGCTCTGCATACTTGCTGCAGCTGAGCAGAGCGCTCAGGGCCTTCATGGCTCCCAAGCCTTCGGATCCGGGGGCTGGGGAGTTGGGCAAAAGGGGGGTCGCCTCGGGAACGCTGGGAATCTCTGGGTGTTGTTGTTGGCCTGCTTCACCGACGGTGGCCGCACGCCGGCCAACTTCTTCAGCGTAGGGAGCCGCGGATGGGCCTGGTCCGTCCGCGCCCTCGGTGTCCTCGTCTATGGCCCTCAGTGGCAGCCCCGCACGACAGTGGTTGGCGTGGATCCAAGTTGTCCTCTCCGCGACCTTAACGGGCCGTCACCAGGAGGGCGAGGAATGGGCCGAGCCAGCGCTTGGACCGCCAATGCTTTCGTCTCGTTTCCTTCATCAGGACCCAGTCGCCTGCGCAGCCTGTGGCAGGGCGCTCCTGACCTGGGCAGAAATAGAGGACAAAAGTGCATTAATTTCCTTACAATAGGACAGCATGTCGTCATCACACAAAGAGGTGCTTGGCAGATCTCTGTTCGGGGGTCCCTCGCCCAAGTTGGGTGGTCTGGCACAGAGGATTTCGAATGGGACTCTCATGCGCATGTACATGAGGGCTAGCGGCAGAGCTTTGAGTGCCATTCTCTCGCTCGCACGCGTCTCCGGGCCAGGGGGCGTAACTGCAGTGTTTACGTATATCAATGCCCAGAAATTCACCCACTTCCTCAATGACTTTTGCTACAAAGTGACTGCCAGTGTCACTAGAGATTTTTTCTCGGGGCACAATTTTTGTGAGCAGAGCTTTCACCACCGCGTTGCTTGTGGCGTGTATGCCTGCAAATACTTCAGTCCATTTGGACCAGAGATCCGCCAGAACCAGACAGTATTACTTACCTTGGCATGGTGTGAGTTCAACAAAGTCCCTTTGGACATGTTGAAATGGGCGCAGGGGCGGAGGATGAGCAGCCTGTTGGATACTTTTGAGACTTACCTGGGTTGTGCGCGGGGCATATAGCGCATGTTTGGCTGAATCTCTGTGCAAATGCCGTAAACCCCTTTGTATACCAATTTTGTGTGATTAAATCACACATCATCCCTCCTTTTGAGGCATGGTCTCGACCATGTGCTAAAATTGCAAACTGTCTGAAGAAATGCCGTGGTAGGCACGGTTTGCTGTCTGGTCCCAGCCACACACACCATGCCGTCGTTGAGCCCCATTCCCCTCTCACAGCAGCGTCTCTGCTGGAGTAGAAAATATCAACGTCTTGAGTGAGGTAGTGTGTGTGTGTGTGTGTAGAGGTGCGTATGCCGCTGCCTTGTCCGCGCGCCGATTCCCTGCAGAGATGGGATCAGTGGCATTAGTGTGGGCCTGGCATTTGCATACAGCGATCTCTAAGGGCAACATCACAGCTTTCAGCAGACGTTCAACCTGTGTGGAATTAAGAATTGGTTTACCATCAGATTTCATAAAATTGCGGTGTTTCCACAGTGCTTCCCAGTCGTGCACCACAGAGAAACCATAGCGCGTATCACATAATATGTTGACAGTTTTGCCCGCTGCCAGCTCACACGCCCCGGTGGGCGCGACCAGCTCAGCGGTTTGTGCTGAGTGGTAGTGGGGCAAACTACCAGAGTCTATAGTATCAAAATCAGAACACACAGCATAGCCGACTCGGTTCTTCCCAGTGTTGTCACGTGACGCCGCTCCGTCTGTATAAAAAAAAATCAAGTCAGGATTAGTCAGAGGCACCTCTTTCAGGTCTGGCCTGGCAGTGCATCTCTGCTCTATTGTGGCGATACAGCAGTGTGCCTCCCCTTCCTCTGGCGTGAGCAGCAGCGAGGAGGGGTTCAGCTGTGTGCATCCCTTCACCGTAGTTCAAAGAGCACCGTGTTGTACCCCAGCCAACGAGCCGCAGAAAGGCGAGAGGCCCTCTGCTCTAACAGGATCAGGGAAACAGCATGGGGCACAAGCAAAGTTAGTTCAGTGTATCCCACAAGGTCACGTGATGCTAGGGCCGCTTTCTCAGCGGCAGCCACAGCCCGCAGGCAGCGAGGCAACCCTGCTGCCACGGGATCGAGTTTTGCTGAGAAGTAAGCAGTGGCCCTCAGTGAGGCTGCAAAAGTACCGACTGTTCCGTTCATCTCCAGTTGCTTTTTCTCCCGGATCGTCCTCAATTCATATTGTGGGCTTTTGTGCCAAAGTGGAGGCTCATTTCCTCCTGATCCATACTACTGTCATCCCTGGAGCAGGGGTAGTTTATCTCTCATCTGAAAAAGAAATATCAGAACACAAAAAAAAACACAAAAAAATGCCCACTTTCGCTTGTCAATCTTTTTCCCAATTGGGCAAAACATAACTGCATTGACAGGTGGTGTGTGGCATCAGGGCGGAGGCTGTAGCAAAATACAGACTTAACAAAATGTATGTTTCTAATTTTATACTCCCCTAAATGTGAGTTTACAAACCAAGTTGTCCTTCAACCAACGACAGCTCACTGCGGTTGGACTGTGTCGCTGTCAGGACAAACAGCAGAGGCAGGAACTCCCAATATCTTCAGCGAGGTATTTCATCTCCGAGTACTTTCAGCAGAGTACTTTTCTCAGAGTACTCATCCCAGAGTACTCTCACTTTTACACCTGTTCAATAAAGCTTGTTATCTTTGAATCTCTAGTACTTACACCGTATGCTGCTGACAAAAAATAATTATTCCATGATCACATTAAAACATTACAGACACATTTGTTATTCCATGATTCCGTTCAGCATTCCTCATTTCACACATCACACTCATATCACAGTCATATCACAGTCACATCACAGTCACATCACAGGCCGATTTCCCACGTTAGTATTTTGGTCCAGTTTGTTAAGGTCAGCGTAGTGTACTTTGACATGACACACAAACATATAACATACACAAAACATATAACACACAAACATGTAACACACAGAAGGCCTGTACTTTTAACTTTGTTATATTTTTCCATGTCCAATTCCAATTGTCTCATGAGCTATTTCTTATTGTTGCAACTTTCAGAGCCTGCAGAGCTTTAAAAGAGTTTTCCTAAAAGGATCCATTTCCAACTTTAGTGTTTACCACGTGGTCTGTATTTCGGGCTTATCACAGATGGTGTCCCCTATATCTCTAATGAGCTCTTGTCACCTAAAAAATGTTTATTTTCCTTATTTTTTTTTTTTTTTTTTTTTTTTTCAATAAAGCCAGGTTTGGATTCATTAAAAATGTAAATTAGTCTCAAACTTTAATACTTCACCTTTGTTTCACGATAAAATGTTTTTGTTGCTCATTAAGTAGCACAGATAGTGGTGCCTATCTCAATAAACGTACTCCGTTAGCCTATCTTCCCTACACTGCATGAATTTTCAAACTCCAAGTTATTGTCTGGGAACGACCGGAGAGAGCAGCTTAGGTCGTTCGCGTGGTTGACCTCCAAATTTTGTGCGGGCGTCACTATCCACTTGTTGTGGCTAATAACTTAGCAATCTCAGGGTTTGGTGTCAATTTCCAGTGGTAGTTAACTTTTGGGACCGGTGCCTCCTTTTATTTATCTATTTTTAATTGAGTCTGCACATAAGGTCTCGGCCTAGTAGGTTAACCGGGGACAATGTTTAAGGCTGTTGCCCTGAGAATCAAAACACGTTAGCGGTGCCGTAAATTGCTCTTTAAGAGTCGTCTCTCCGACGCTGCTAATTAGAATATGAAGCGGCCACTCATTTTAGGGGAGACAGAAAGGCGTCACTTTTAGCACAGAATTTGTTGCCCCGGAGTCATCCAGAATTTTAACTTGTACACCACAGGTTGTTAGCGTATATTACGGGCATGAATTATCTCTAAAAAGTGCCAATTGCAATTTGTTGTTGTTCAACTTACATGAGCGTAAGATCGCTTTGGTGACGAATGTGAACCCAGGTTTGGTCAGTCCGCTCGTGTTTCCTCCGTGCCCGCCTCTGCCGTCCTCTGGCCCCGTGTGAGCTTGAGAGGCCCTCTGCCTTTAACGCCTCCTCCGGTAACAGTCCTTCGACCCATGTCGAGCATCACAGTCTTTCCGCGGGCTCCGCAGGAGGCCCAGGTGGAAGTTTTTCAAAGTCCGCAGGAGGCCCAGGTCGCCAAGAAAAGCGTTAGCATGTCCCGGGGGTCCGAAAAAATATGAGGGTTGGTGAATAACCCAAATTTGTAAACCGCGTACTTCTTGGCTTCTTCTGTTTGCGCGTGCCGGGACACCTTTAGGGCGGGTGCGTTTGGTAATATCACGCTGCCCCCTCCGTGGAGAACAGTTCACGGGATTTGGAGCAGTTTCCCTCTGTGCTCCAAAGAGTTGTCAGGTGTCTCACATATTTCTTTCCCCCGCTTCTTCTTCTGTGTGTTTCCTGAGCGTGTGTCTGTTTTCCGCCACTTCTTCTTCTGCGGTTTGGGCCACTTCTCGCGGGGTCCAGCTGGTGCTGGCCGACGCGGGTTGGGGCGTGGGGCTGGTGCTTTGAGGCAGAGAGACAGAGCGCGGAGGAAAGGCCCGCCGACAGACCGATAAGGGGGAGGAAAAGAGACAACAGTAGTCTGCTTTAAAAAAAATCATTTTTAAAAACCCAACGCCTTGTTTGGGTGGCACACTTATTGTTAGTAGGGGAAAAGGGCGGTAGGGTGGGGGTGTGGGGATGTGTGTGTGTGTGTCCGCGCTGTGTGTTCTCCCGCTTCGGTGAAAGGCGAGGAGCTATTGTTTTACCATATTCCTTCTCCAACCTCTTTTTGCCGTGATATTCTGTAAAACCCAAGTATATTTTTTCTTGCCTTCTGCTTCTAAATTATCACGCAAGATCGTAATGGCCTGCCACCATAGGCACAGCACTCCAGAGCTTGCTATCTTCTAGATTGATTTTTTACACCATTTTCTCAGTACGATCCTGGGGCCCTAACCCGCTTAGTCTCTCCTGCTCTTACCCACTTTGGGGCGCTCCGTTCCCCCCCCCGCTGGTTCAACCAGCGAGCGCGCGTTCTTGAAAACGGAGCGGTTCTGGCTGATACAGACAACTCAAGATTCCAGGTCGCTTACAAGAGCGATACACGCGCAGCCGCTAGCTTCCATCTAGAACAAAAGCCCCCAAAAATTTTCCAAGGACCATTGGGTTGCCGGGCCGTGGCCGCTACTTTCCACCGGAGCATCTCCTCTGCCCTACACGAGATATTCCCAGTGGTCGTGGCCTGCGCGCGGCGGAATCACACCTGGCAGAGAAAGAGGATCTCTGTCATGCGTGATAATCTCGACTTCCAGGAGTTCCGACGCCTCTGCCCTTCTGCCAACCCATCACCATGCCAGATCCCCTGCATGGAATCCCTCGCCCTGGACTAGTCCCTCCGTCTCTTCACCTCCTCATCTCCTCCGCTGCATCCTACATGAAGATGGGTCTCTCACCTTCCACACTGAAATCATACAGCTTCGCGTGGAAAGTCTACTCCAGCTTCTGTCACGCCCACTGCATTCCACTCATTCCGCCCTCTGCTGTCACGATCCATGATGCATTACACTCGCCTCCGCTCTCGGAAAGGAGATCTCAACGGACCGTCATTTCTTACCCCTGATAACCTCCCTATGTCCCCCAACTGGTTCAGAGCCCAACTCAAGTACGTACTGCTGCTTTGTAATCTGTCTCCCCATTTCTACACAGCCCACTCCTCTCGGATAGGCGCCGCCACGCGCGCCGCGTCACTGGGGCTCCCCCATTCCGCCCTTCAGCAGCTGGGCCGCTGGTCATCATCGGCCCTCTCCTCATACATCAGGCCTGACACTTCGACCATTCTGACAGCCCAGCGGCTTTTGGCATCTCCATAAAACACTCGCTAAACTCCTGGTGGCGGCTGCAGCTGAGTATCCGCAAGTTTGGTCACAGCAAATAGCGGTCACAGTATATAGTGATAGCGGTCACAGTATATAGCGATAGCGGTCACAGTATATAGCGATAGCGGTCACAGCATAGAGTAGTCTCGTCGTTCTGTCCCCTCCAAACCAGGCTGCAAAAAACTCCATCAACACAGCTTTTTGGGGATTGGCACGCTCCTTCGCATGGAGGCCCTCCGCTCTGAAGGCCGCACCGGGGCCTAGGGCGCCAAAACCTCCTCCTAAATAAAATACTCAAAAGCTTCTTGTTTCACGTCTCTCCAAATTGAAATGCAGCCAGCGAAAGTTCAATTTGGTAGACGTCAGCCAAAGGTAACCCCTCCAGGCCGGTTCTCATCCCCAGCCTATCGCGCTGCAAACGCCCCTTCCAATCACCGGTCCGGCCAGGCAGCCGCTTAAAAGCGGAGAAACCCCCACTCTCTGCCTTCTCGAAGCCTGCAACCACCGCCTCCCCTCCTCCTCCTCTTCACCCTGCCTTCAATCCGCCTTCAACCTGCTTCCCGCTGCCAAATGCCGCCACCAGTGCCTAGGTCCCGGGGGATTGGCGCGCTCCTTCGCATGGAGGCCCTCCAATCTGAAGGCCGCACCGGGGCCTAGGGCGCCAAAACCTCCTCCTAAATAAAATACTCAAAAGCTTCTTGTTTCACGTCTCTCCAAATTGAAATCGAGTCACGTGTGACCCACAGCAGAGCTCTGTTTGTCCACTTTCACCCAACTGCTCCAGTAGGCCCACCAGTGCTCTTACTCTCAATCCAAAGCGCTTGAATGCACTAGAGTCTCCACGGGGGATGTTTGCTGACTCCATCAGATCTGCTATCTTCCTCAGCGCTAGCTGGTGGGGCTGACCATATCGTTCAGTTAAGCTGCTCATTGTGTCTGTATATGGCTGCTGTGAGTTGATATATGAATCTGCAATGAGTAGGGCATCTTCATGTTTTAGGTGATCTACTAATATCTGATACTTAAAGCCTTCATTGGCGTCTTCGGGCAAAAGATTTTCTAGGGCCACTTTAAGCCTTGCAAACTCTCGGGGGTCACCTTTAGTGAATGTGGGGATTGTGGGTTTTGGGCCCCGGTACACAGTCTCATGATGAGGTGGCGCTGACTTGGGGCTCTCTGCCTCTGACTCACATCTGGGTGGAGTGAAGGGAGTGCAGTACTCGGGTGTCCGCGCTTGAGGGGGGTGATGAGGTGAAATGTACCTTGGCTGCTCTTGTGATGATGTTCTCATATCCCTCAGCAGCTCTGTAAGTTCAGACACTAACTTCTCTGGGGGCAGTGGCCGACTTTCCTCAATGAACTTGTCTGTTACAGGAGGGGGAGGAGGGGGCCAGTCCTCATCATCCTCTGCAGGTACTGTGAAGTTGATGGCCTGTGCAGGTAGATTATTCAGCAGGGACTGACTGGGAGGCTGGTTTACAAAGGTACTGGAGGCTAACAGAGGAGGAGGGGCTGATGTTTGGATGGCTGCTTCTGGCAGAGTATGGCTTTGCTCTGAATACATCTCTTTATATGTCCCACAGTGGACACACTATCCCAGGTTTCGGCACCAAAATGTAGTGGGGAGAGCAAGTTTATCTGGTTTGTAATGTGGGATTGTTCTTCATAACACACTTTGTGGCAATGTATTTATGTGTGTGTGTGTGTGTGTGATCCTGAAAATAACAGAGAAAATCTAGATTAGAATGAGCAACGTAACTAACGCATTATGTAAACGAGAATAGCACACTAAGAACCTTTAGCACACAGTAGTTAGCATCTTAGCTCTTAGCAGCACTCAAACAAAGGAGCATACATTCAAATATGCCTAAAATATACCTGCAATTCACTCATGTTATAATAACCTTATAAACAGTGTACAAGAAATCAGGGTTCATTTCTGTGACTTCAGTCCAACCACTACTCACTTTTTCATAACCACGAGGTCTGAAAAACACTCTGCAAATGATAAACTTTAGCAAACGTAGTGCTCTCAATGCACCTTGAAAATACAAGCTTCTGATTGGCCCGAATTAGCTGTCAATTAAACCTGGAACATAAACACTTGCGATTGGCTAATCCACATGTCAATCAACAGAAATACCAAAGAGGGCCGTTCTTCGTCACAGTGATGATGGGAGACCTCTGGGAACAGCGTGTGCCACAGTGGGGCAGCTGTGACTGTAAAATGCCAAACTGCTGTTGTGTTTTTGAGGCAAGACCCTTCACCAACATTGCCAAGAATGAGTCTGGTGTGAGTGAATGATTCTTATTTTTATTATATCTTTTTGACTGTTGCACTGAGCCAAAGCAATTTCCAAGTCTGTGACCTCCTGTTACTTACGTTGGCAATAAAAATGATTCTGATTCTGATTCTGATTCTGATGATTGGTGGTGGTCATGAGGGCCAATAGCGTCAGTCTGCCAACACCATGTATGGAGTGTCTTTGGGCATCATTAAAACATTATGATTATTATTTTTGTGCAGAGTATATTGTGTTATGTGACAAACATTTTAAGAATATAATATTTAATCTGGGTTTCTCTCCTGACATGAAGTTCTCTGAGCACAGGACGAATGTGAGAGGACTTCAGGTGAGAGACCTGAGCTGAGGACTGGAGCTGCAGCGTTTTGAACGTACTGCAACTGTTTTACAGCTGGTTTGGAGAGATCAGTGAGCAGGCCGTTACAGTAGTCTAACCTACTGGAGAATAATGCATCAATACAAATGTGCAAGTGTGCTTTAGAGATACTGCCTTTGTTTCTGGCATTCATTTTTGGAAAGACAGAAAAAGGCTGCATGTGCATTTTATCTCATAGGGGTATTAAACTCACTGACCTGTTGGAGTGCATCCATAGGCCTAAATTCACCAGGTACTGATGGTAAACTGTTATTATTGGCTACCACAGTCTCATTGTACAACTATTTTCAAGAAGAAAACCATATCACATAAAACAATATTGTTGGGTTTTAATTATGTAAGTGACGTATCATATCTCTGCAGATGCAGTTGGATTCATAACATGTGATTCCATAAACAGGACAAAGGCAAATGACTGGAGCTGCATGAGTTTACTAAGAATCCCAACCTTCTAAATACTACTCACTCAAAAGCAAAGTATTTGTCACTTGAACTCATTTCAATTTGGAGAGACGAGAAAACAGGAAGTTTTGAGTATTTTATTGAAAGGAGGTTTGGCGCCCTAGGTCCCGGTGCGGCCTTCAGATTGGAAAGGCTCCTGCGATGGAGCGCGCACAATCCCCAAAAAGGCTGCGTGTTGATGGAGTTTTCAAAGCCTGGTTTGGAGGGGACAGACGTCGTTACTGCTCTATTCTGTGACGCCTATCGCTAAGCTGTGACCGCTATCGCTATATGCTGTGACCGCTATCGCTATATGCTGTGACCGCTATCGCTATATACTGTGACCGCTATCGCTATATGCTGTGACCGCTATCGCTATATGCTGTGACCGCTATCGCTATATGCTGTGACCGCTATCGCTATATGCTGTGACCGCTACCGCTATCTACTGTGACCGCTATCTACTGTGATCAATACTTGCGGATACTCGGCTGCTGGCGGCGCCTATCCGGAAGGAGTGAGCTGCGTAGAGATGGGGAGATCGGGGGTGAGAAATAACGGTCCGTTGAGATCTCCTTTCCGAGAGCGGAGGCGAGTGTAATGCATCGTGGGTTATTTTTGCGCGCTGGGAACGTGAGCGTTCGCATCACGTTCCGTCAGACGCTGCGGCAGCGGAGAGTGTTTGAGAAGTGCGTGCCGCCACCAGAATCTTATTGCTTCACTTACTTTGCTTCGTATTGCTTTGCTGGGAGCTTACGAGGAAGCCAGTAGGCGTTGTGCAGCCAGGATGGCGGACGCGTCTGGGCTGATGTAGGTGGAGAAAGCCGAAGAGGAACAGCGCCCCAGCTGTTGGAGAGGTGGGGGAGCCCCAGCGAGGCCGCGCACGTGGCAGCGCCTATCCTGAAGGAGTGAGCTGTGTAGAGCTGGGGAGACAGATTGCAGAGGAGCAGTAGGGATCTTAGCTGAGCTCTGAACCAGGTTGCTGTCATGGGAAGGTTGTCTGGAGAGAGATGTGTCGGAGCGAGCTATTATTATGTTGCAGGCGCCTTGGTCTTTGAATGTTTGAGATGGAGGTTGAAATGGTCAGGGGACATTATGTTGGGTGAAAAAGAGCGACCTTTGTGTAATGCTTCCACTACGTCGAGATTATCGCGCATGACAGAGATCCCCTTTCTCTGCCACGTGTGATTCCACGGCGCGCAGGCCACGACCACTGGGAATATCTCGTGTAGGGCAGAGGAGATGCTCCGGTGGAAGTAGCGGCCACGGCCCGGCGAACCACTGGTCCTGGAAGAACCCCCAAAACCCACGGAAGGGGCACGTCCGTGTAGAAGCGGAGACCTGTAGGGGCAGAGACATGTCGGAGAGGGCCATTGATGTTGCAGGCGCCCTTACGCTTAGAATCTTGGGTTGGAGAGTAGATAATCGGGATAGTAGGATGGTCGGGAAAGCCGCGTCTCGGACCGCATGAAGGTTGAGCGAGCAGTAGTGAACGCTTATGCAGAGAAGTCATAGAAGGCGAGCAGGAAGATGCTGCGAGGAGGGCAGACATGTACTTGGAAGACGAGCCAGAGTTCAGTGCCGCTCAGAGCCGCTGCAGGATGGGCAGCGTGATGGGGAGCCTGCGATCAGAAGAGTGAAGAACACAGGTATGGATGCCTTTGATTAGGAGTCCGATTGGCGGCTCAGCGCAGCTACTCGGCCGGCTGCATCTGATAGAATCAGAAGATTAGGTAGAGAGATGAAGCATGACCGCCGAAGCGACCCTGGGAGCATAGGTACGAGGCCAGCGCGGCGCGGCATACTAGCCGGGCAGCATCCATTAGAAACAGGATAAGCTTCTGAGAGAGTGGGTTGCAGCAGTAGCAGCAGCGGCAGCAGCAGTACCTCAGATGATAACAGCGATAACCTGTATCAAGCCGCGGCAGCAGCAGCAGCAGCAGCAGCAGTAGCAGCATCCTTAGAGATTAACAGTAATAATCCTGTATCAAGCCACAGCAGTAGAATGTTGTCGTAGCTGATCAATGTTTCAGTAAAAGAGATGCAAGTGAAGAGAGATGGCAAGTAAATGAAGCAGCAGCAGTAGTAGCAGCAGTAGCGGTATGAAGCAGCAGCAGTAGCAGTAGCGCAGTAGCAGTATGGAGCAGCAGCAGCAGTAGCAGCAGCAGCAGCTGCAGCATCCGTAGATAATAACAGCATTGATCCTGTATCAAAGCCACGGCAGTAGAATGTTGTTGTAGCTGATCAGTGTGAGGGATTTAAACAGGTTTTACGGTCCAAGTGAGTTAAACAGGTTTTACGGTCCAAGTGAGGGATTAACTGAGCCCGCAGTCCAAGTGAGGAGTTTAAACTGAGAGTTTACAGTCCGGTGTGAGGGATCCAACGGAGCCTGCAGTTTTTTTTTTTTTAATTTATTTATTTATTTATTTATTTATATATATTTATTTATATTTATTTATATGTATTTATATGTATTTATTTATATGTATTTATTTATTCATTTATTTATTTTTTAATATATAGCGTTCCAGATATAGGCAGTACCATATATGCAGTTCCATATACTGCATAACAGTTCCAGGTATAACAGTACCATATAGCAGTTCCAATATAGCGGTTCCATATATAAGCAGTTCCATATGAAGCAGTTCCAGATACGGTACAGCAGTTCCAGATATAAGCAGTTCCGGATATAAGCATTTCCAGATATAAGCATTTCCAGATATAAGCATTTCCAGATATAAGCATTTCCAGATACAAGCATTTCCAGATATAAGCATTTCCAGATATAAGCAGTTCCGTGAGGGATTAACCTGAGAGCTCACAGACCAATGTAAGGGATTCATTTTGGGAGCCGCAGTCCGAGAGGGATTTAAACAGCGCTTGCAGTCCAAAGAGAGGGATTTAAACAGAGCTCTTAGTCCAGAGAGGGATTTAAACAGAGCCTGCAGGCCAAAGTGAGGGATTAAAACTGAGAGCATGCGGTCCAATGTGAGGGATTAAAACTGAGGTCTTGCAGTCCAATGTGAGGGATTAACGGAGCTTGCAGTCAGAGTGACTGCAAGCTCCGCTTGGCTCTCTTTAACCAAGCGGAGCTTGGTTAAAGAGAGCCTGCAGACCAATGCGAGGGCTTTAAACTGAAGCCTGCCCACCAATGCACGGGGCCAACTGAGCCTGCAGTACAATGCGAGGGGAATAAACCGTCTGCAGATCTCATACTTACCCACACGCCAGAAGACAAGGGACAACACAACGGGACCAGACCGTATCGGCACGAGGAGGCAGGGATGCGCACGGCTCCCACCGCACCGGTCCAGACTGGCCGTATGCAGCAGCAGCCGCGACGAGACGAGCAGCGGCAAACCCGCAGAAAGAGCCCGCAAAGGAGGAGAGCGGCAAAGACCCACGGACCACAGCACGAGACCCGCAGCAGGAGCAGCCACAGGAGGAGCAGACCACACGCAGCAAGACAGAGGACAGCAGGGACCGCAGGAGTAAGCGTGAGTAGACGAAAGCGATTCCTCCAGAACGATTCTTTGCGAGGCTTCAGGAGGCAGAGAGTGGTAGTTTCTCCGTTTTTATGCGGCTGGCGAGTCGGTACAGATGATTGGAAGGGGGCGTCTGCTGAGCGATAGGCTGGGGATGCGAGCCGGCCTGGAGGGGGTAATTTTGGTTAACGTCTACCAAATTGAATTTTCGCTGGCTGCATTTGTCCCCTCAGAAGTATTATTATATAAGAATGTGTCACCGCCCTCTGTTGGGTAGATGTTACACTGCACTTCAACACAAACAGTGATTTCAATCCAAAGACACAATTAATACATTAAAAATGATTTATTTGTTTGGCGCATTGACCCCTGCAGTGACACTTGCAGCGATGAGATCGATTGCAGCTGAAGATGATCTCAGATCCCCCGGGGTCAAGCACTGGTGGTGGCTAGAGTATGGTGTGAATGGGGCGTAGGCGGAGCAGGAGCCTAGAGCAAGCGCCAGAGCAGGAGCCTAGATCCAGAGCCAGAGCAGGAGCCTAGATCCAGAGCCAGAGCAGGAGCCAGAGGGGGTGCTGGGGAGGTGGTGGGTGTTTAAGAGCCTCAGGAAGCGTTGCTTGTCAGGAAGTGGCTGCCTTTTAAACTGCCCGCTTTGCTGTGAGAGGGTTGGCAGGAGGCTGGCCGTGCTGTGTGATTGGCAGGCACTTGGTCTTTCAGTCTGAACATCCGCATAAGCTTCATATTTGTTTGGTTTTTAATGTGACTACATATGGATTCCCTCAGTGCGGTCTTGTGTTGAACTTTCTCCATCCCTCGGTCACTTGTCCTGGGCTCGTCTGGAGTCATCCATCTACACACTTTCTTCAACTTTATCCTGGGCCAGGTCACAGAGGCAGCAGTCTGAGCAGAGAGACTTCCCTCTTCACCTGCTGCAGCTGGACCAGGTGATCCCAGGCCAGCTCCTCACTCCCTCTTCACCACAACAGTCCCATAGAGCGACCGCTCTGATCTGCAGATTTGTTTTCCTGCACAGACACAAAAAGACAGGACAATTACACTGTTGAAATCTTGTTGAAAATCCCCATAAAGATTTGCTGCTGTTCTTAGCTCTCACCTGTGTTGTAACTTCTACTTCTGTTGGCTCTCAGCAGACATGGCTCTGATCTTATCTCCTCTGGTGTACTGCTGGGTTGTGGTCAGGTGCAGGGGGTGTCGCTCTCCTTGGTGCTGAAGCTTTCTTTGTGTCCAGGTGAAAGAACACAAGCTTATTTCGTGGTTTAGCAGTGTCTTTACATGACCACTGTGTAGATTTGGACCATCCAACAGCTCTAAATTTGCTGATGGATGGTCCAAATAGCCCTCAAGATCATGGGGCTGCCTGTACATCTTTGTGAGAGGCTGCTCTTGCTCCGTGTCTGTGGCTCTGGTATGAGATCCAATGACATCACAGGTTACCAAGAGGCACTGAAGTCCATTTTACAGGTCCAAAGACACTAGCACTGGCTTTTCCATCTTTAGATCGCAATCTAGCAATCCGACGAAACAATGTGCAGTTCTGCAACAGAAATAAAAACAAAATATTAGAAATATTGTAGCCATCCTCGTTTCACCCCCTGAAACCTGCACCTCATTCCTTTCAGAATACACAGACTTTTACACACAGCTTTCTTCCATCTCTGTTTTCTGCTCAGGGATTTAAATATTCAAGACAATCACTACTACTACTACTACTCTAACTGCCAAGCTTTACACCAGTTACTACCGATGTACATTGGTTAAAACTGCTCCTTTCTCTGCCTCTCTGGACCTCACACACAGCTCACCGTTGGTCCGAGGCCTTCAGAAGGTCTTCTCACGTGGGATGAGTCTGCTCTCTGTGTGGGGCAGGATTCGTTCCTCTTTTCCTCTGATGTGGACAGCAGCATCCACAGGTCCCTCTCACAACAATAGATCCTACATTTGGACAAATACAAGTTTATTCTAATGTACAGACACAAAGTGAACAGCTGTTTTCTCAGATATTGACTTACACATGTGGATCTGTGTTCTGTGGACTACATGTGGCTGGAGCTGGAAGTACAACATTGTAGTCGTTGTAGATTAAGAAAATGTGGCTGAGATGAAGAGGAGGACTTTTCCAACACTGGACTTTGATTCCTGTAATGAAAAGCAAATAATGCAGATGTTCATTTGAGTCTGGCACGTATCTCTTGAAACTCTACTTTCAAGAGATTCCTCCCCTCACCTCCTCAAAGTCTACTTTCTCTACAAAGTTCCTCATCTTATCTCTTAGAAAGCATCCAGTTGAAGTAGAGGGATTTCTATTCAACTGTTCCTTTGTCCATTTCTCAAAGATTATGACCATAAATCCAAATCTTTGAGTGCAGACGCTGTTCCCTCTTCACCACAACAGCCTGAAACAGCAGCCACATCACTGCATTGTCTTTCTCAGGCTCCATCCTTCCCTCTCTGTGAACAGGACCCAGAGACAATCATCACATGCTCTAGAAACAGTTTTAGATCCACACTGAGGAAGGACCGTGCTACTACCTGAAGAGGGAAAGTCCTCCTTCTCTAGTCCAGAACTAAGGCCTTGGATTCGGAGGGACTCATTTTCACTCCAGCTGCTTCACATTCGGCTGCAAACTCTCCCAGTCAAATCGTCTAATTCCAGTGGCTTCGGAGTTCTCTGGAGATCTTCCTCAGGTTTCCTTCTTAATCAAACCAATGTGTTCTAAGACTGTAGTTCAGAAGAGCAGCAGACGACACAGGAGGCTCCTCACTGGGAATGAGTCAAGTCTGTGTGGATTTGTTCATCTTCCTCTGATGTGGACAGTGGTGCTTCACTGATGCTCCTATTGACAGGGACTGCTGCATCAGGAACAGGTCCATCAGGGACAGCTCCATCAGGAACAGCTCCATCAGGGACAGCTGCATCAGGGACAGCTCCATCAGGGACAGCTCCATCAGGGACAGCTCCATCAGGGACAGCTGCATCAGGGACAGGTCCATCAGGGACAGCTCCATCAGGGGCAGGTCCATCAGGGACAGCTGCATCAGGGACAGCTGCATCAGGGACAGCTCCATCAGGGACAGGTCCATCAGGGGCAGGTCCATCTGTGAACAGTGGGAACAGACTGAGTCGTTCTTTCATGGTGAGTTCAATAACGTTTTGAGGCTGACTCACCGGGACACGCTGGATGCTGCGGACTCCTGTCTCCAACTGGAAAAACAAATCTGAAAACAGACTTAAAGACATCTCTGACGATGACTCAGGGTCAGTTAAAGTCTCATGTGCTCATATACTAGGACTTTATAAGAACTATCTAACATGATGATATTTACCTGTCTTTTTGAGTGCTGTCAAAGCTGACAGTGTCTGTCCACAGACCCAAATGAACAAATAAAGTCAAAGAACCATCCCCACAGAGACTCTTCACTCTGACACGTTATGAACACTTAAGTTCTAAATGTTGTATGTGTATGAGTGAGTGAAGGAGACATTATAACTTCATATTTGTGTTTGTAAAATATATACTCTGTATGTGTCACATCAGCTGCAGGCTTTGTCTTGTAACTCTGTCAGACAGCAGTGTTCCTGGCCAGGGGTACTATGCAGGAAACCACACTAGAGTCAGCTTAAGCTCTTTTTTCATCCATTCTCAAATACAGTTAAGTCATTGAGTCGTTTTAGTTTTAGTTCTGTCAAAGTTGATCTGTGTTTGTTACCTTCCTACATACTATTCCTTTCCTTTAATACAAAAACACAGCAAAGGAGTGGGTATTGCACCAACAACCATAAATAAAGAAATCAACAAACTTTATATGTATAAAGTTTAAGGGCTGGTTATCGGGCGACTCCCCAGAGGAGAAAGCAAAGAGTACGATGGAGGACAGAGTGAGGCTGAAGATCTCTGCTCACATCAGCTTCATCTATTTACTTACTGCTCATGCTCAATGTGTTTCTGCTGTGAACAAATGTCATCTTTATGGAAGTCCTACATCGTTTTCTTTGCCTTCTCCTTTCTTGAAACAAACTACTACTAATACTAGAACAAGGGTCTTCAACCTACAGCACAGGAGCTACCAGTGGCTCTCCAGCTCTTTCAAAGTGGCCTGTGAAAGGGCTCAGGGAATCTACAAATGCTGCTCCAAAGTCTTTCTTCAGAGAAGTTACTCAGTGACATCATGTTTTGTAATACATGGAGAATGGTTTATGTTTTATATGGAAACATCTAACACTATCTCTCAACAGGTTGGAAACCCTTGTCCCAGAGAGAAACTACTTTTTTTTGTGTCAACACTTTGCACAATCAATAAATCAATCAATCAATAAATAAATGTCCAGAGGTGAAATTGGGCGCTGCTGAAGGTGGAGTGTGCGGCCCATGTGAAGCACTTTGTGACCTCCTCTGGCTGTCTAAAGTGCTGTAGAAATAAGTGCTGCCTTCTCTCCTCCAGGTGCTCAGTCTCAGGCTCAGGTTGATCTTCAGTCCTGCTCTGAGTCGGAGTCTTGGGGCAGGTGGGGCTGGAGGAAGTATCGGGTGAAGCCTTCCAACATCCCAGCAGAGTCGGAGAGGGTGGGCTCCTCAAAGATGTCCTCGTCGTAGGAAAAGCGTGGCCTCTTGGAGATGGGCTCCTCCTCTTCCTCTTCGTCCCTGTGGCGCCTGGCCCTTGTTAGGGGCACAAAGTCCTGGAAGCTCACAGGGCGACGGGAGGGCACGAGGTCTGGACTGGGAGACGAAGGGGACCATTCCGGCACAGTCTGGTTGTCCTCTTCACCCTCTGTGTCCTGGTCTTCCTCCTCACTCTTCGTGTCCTGGTCGTACTCTTCATCGTCTGGGACAAGTGCATCGTCCCAGTCACTGTTCTCATCCCAGAAAACGTCCAAGGGGGAGGCGTCCCAGTCCTCCCAGTCCTCCCAGTCCGCGTCATCGTCCATGCCGGCCTCTGGCACGAGAGCTTGATCCCAGAGGTGGATGTCAAATTCCACTTCATCAGACTCCAAGTCCAAACCATAGACGTGACGCAACACGTGATAAGCCCACCTTACCTGCGACTCACCTGCGTCCTCCTGGTCGTCAGCAAGAAGCACCTGCAGGGCGTCCCTCGCTGTTGGAACATAATGACAACATGAACAACTTCCTCACACACTGTTTTTGTTTTGTCAAAGTTACAGTCAAACACACAAGTATTCACCGTTATGAAGACTAAAATACTGTTTGACTTATGAAAACCTCTTCATGTTTCACCCTGTGTAAGGTTCACAAACCCATTCATTTCAAACTAAATGAGTTGTCAACGTATTCAATAATGGATTTAACTGTTACAGCATGAAGAACTTTCAGTCAAATTATTTGTAGCAGTGAGAAAGGTTCAATTAATGAAGATATGAATGTAACTGGAAATGTTTTCGTTGTAACTACTACTCTGTTCATGTGTGTAACCAGTTACATTAGTGAGTTACAACTAAATGAACAAGTGACTTTTGGAGCTGTTTCTCCAACACTGATCAGGTCACGGTCACATGTGCACAACAGCTGCTCTCATCTACCTTTAGCACTGGATACATTTGATGTTAAAACTCAAATACTGATGATAAAGCTGTGATAACGTTTTAATTACAGCCTTTCTGATCAACTTTGTCTGTTTTCAGCAGCTTTTACACATGTGACCAAAAGTCTATGTCTTAAAGAAGCACTTTCATAGTTGCCCTGCCACATGCTAGCTAGCGTTAGCTCCTGACACAGACATGTGGTCCATCCAAACAGCCACACATGGACTAAAGTGAGAATATCACGTCTTTTACCCATATTTCATGATCATTTCAGTGATCAGTAAGTGATGTGGTGGTACCTCCAGGCGGCAGGGGCAGGTCGGCCGGGGCGTGGAAGGGGAGAGCCATGAGAGCCAACAGTGTTTGTTCACAGAGCTTTTCAAAGCTGAAAGGTGTCAACAAACCAGTGTTAGACAGTGTCCTGGTGCTACAGTGTTTTATCACAGCTTGGTCCTTAAACAAAGATGAGATGAAGAGAGTTCTGCACAAGTGTCAGCGTCCAACAGCAAGTGAAGTGAGCGTCGAGCGAGCAGCGTTTGAATATAAACACTCTGCGTCTCCATGGCAACGACACATATAACTATAACTATAAATATATAGGTATAAGGGTTTTAGTCTAGCTCTTTTAGTTTAGTTTTAGTTTTGACTGAATGGTTGAACCCAGTGATTCTCAAAGTGTGGGCCGGGGCCCCTGGCGGCCTCTGGAGGCCACAATTAATGTAATTTAATTCAGAGCACCTGCTTCTTCAGGCCATTGTGCAATTGATGTGAAATTTCGATTTTTTTATATTGGTTTTTCAATATACAATAACAATAACAATCTAAATTGATTCAAATAATCTATTAACCCCTCAGCACTTTAACCCCTTGACCTTTTGATTTCAAAACACGTCGGGTTTACGCCTTTTTATGTGTGTTTAAGAAGTGTTGGATTTTCTTCATATTAACACACATACCCGCACATATAGAACCACAAAACTTCCACTCTCAGGATGTGGATACTGCAATAAATCTTTAATTTGATCACTTTGGCTCCCAAAAACGTGTTAAGACGTTCTATTTGATTTCTAATGTTTTGACACAAGGGCAAATCAGCGATACACATATCCAGATAAATTATGTGTAATGATCCAGTGGGACAACACTGGGGGCAATACAGGTCCGTGTGGGGCAGTAAGGCACTCTTCTTCCCTGTGCTCAATTCTGGGGTTAAAAACATGGATCTATAGATCAAAAATCAGTGTGAGGGACCAGTAGGCAAAAACCCAACGTGTTTTGAAATCAAAACGTCAAAAGGTTAAAGGTCTAAATAGATTATTTGAATGCATTAAATGTGTCAAATATCCAATATTAAACTAACTTTACTGCAGTTCTCAATCCTGGTTGAGACTGGGTCCCGGTTCAGAGTCTCTTTGGCTTCATCAACAATCTCACTTTCAATGGATGATGTATTGTTGGTGTATTGTAATGTAACCATGTAATAAATCCCACACGACCCACGCAAACAGGACGTGTTGATATGACCTGGCGCTGCCCCCTGTCCTCCCATGGTCCTTCTCTTATAACCTGAAACTGTTGCTGGTCTTACTGCTACTTGCTGCTGAAATCACCTTCGCCCCGATTTGCCCAAAGATTCTTATCTTTCTCTCAGTGGTTAGTCTATTTAATCTATATTAGTCTATCTAATATTTTTAATATTATTACATATAAGCAACTCAGGCCTTATACCCCATTAAAGATAAGTGCCAATGTTAGCAGTTAGGCGAGTGAGAACACCTGGCCCGAGTCGTGCGTTAGAGTCATGGATCTATAATAATTTCCGTATTTACATATTTACTGTTTATTTGTTCTGTCTTCTGTTAAAAAATGATTCGATGTCGAAATTTAGACCAGCCCCTTATTAATCAAAAAAACACTTAATCTCATGTAACCAGTCTTGTTAACATCGTAATATTTGAGCGAGACTTTTGATACCTTTGAGTTTTTCTTTTATGTGGATACGTGTTTTGATATTTGATGCACTTGATGTAATCTGTGACCTTCTTTGGACAATACAATAAATGTTTTGAGTGTGTATGATGAATGTAATTAATATGTTATACTGCTCACATGGTAGACTGCTCATTCATTCTTTTGGTTAATGTAAGAACAATTAGATACTTTAACAATATTACATTTGCCGTAATAATATATTCCCAAAAACCAAATATATCCTTTCATCGTCCGTCTTCTTCTGCTGTATTTGTTGCAGCATGTTGTGGTCTGACTCCTACCTCAGCCCTATGTTTATTTTATTTCTTGATTGTTATTTTTTTCAGTTTTCTAGAAGAAAACACAAACCTTATATAATCACTAAAGTCTTCATGGTTACTGCCCCATACTCGCCCCAGTGTTTCCCTCTTCCCTGCAGGCTCCAGTCCCTGTCTGCCCCTGTGGAGAGAGAAAAGAGCAGCTCCAGGGGAATAACACACAGATTACAGCTTGTTCCAGAGCATGTCTCATTTAGGATTACTCTCTACTCACTCTGCAGTTTGCTGCTGGGGAACAAGTCCCTCTGTGCAGACTTAAACATAGTAAATAGGAAACGGTGTTCGGGAAAATATGACTGAGAACATGACTATAAAATGTATTTATGTGGGAACCATACGCTTTTTAAAAACTGTGAATATGTGTGATTTAGAGCAACATATTTAGAGTGTAAGATTAGTCTTAGAATGTATTTTTTAGTTTAATAAAAATGTTATACTGAAAAAATCCAATACAAAAATTGTTATTTATATCCATCCATCCATTTTCTTCCCCTTCAAATCCATTTCTGGGTCAGGGGTGTCAGTCAGAGCTGCACCCAGTACACAGAACACCAGCCCCTCACTGATCCTCCTGCAGATGGTGAGTCCACAGGAGCCTTGATCTCCCAGCAGGGGCTTCAGGCAAAGTGGGGTTAAGTGTCTTGCCCAAGGACACAACGAGAGCAGTCATCAGTGGGAGTCGTGAAGTAGGTCTTGTGGTGGGCTCAAACACACAACCTCCAGGCTCAAAGGCCAATGCTCTACCAACTTAGCCACTGTGTTTAGATTTTTTTGGTGATCAAATAGGTACAGGTTCCATTTACAAGGAGCGTAATGGGAGATGCTTCTGCCACCTTCACCTTCACACAAGGAACAGCGAGAAGGTTGAGGTTTGAGAATACGGCAGCTGAGCAGATACTCCTGTATTCTGACATCTCTGAAGGATCCCAGACCCAGACTCTCTGCAGAGCTGCTCTTGTGTTAAAGAACTTTATGTAAACACAGAAAAAGCCCGACCACCACTTTTGCCCTGAACATGTGTCTTTGCAGATCAGGGCGTATGTTCTACTTAAGTCATATGGCTGGATTTTAATAAACGTACGTCCAAAAAGCAACAACGCTGCTTTGATGCGGTGGCAGTGGGAGCACATCCATGTTCCGAGCTGCCTCACTCCCACCACACTGCAAACACTACTTTATTATTGTTAAATTACTGTTTCTGTGTTGCCCATTTGCTGATATAAAGTGTGGTCTACTGAGAACAATATTTGGTGTTTATCATTTGTCTATTACAAGGTTACACCGGAGTCCACCCTGTTGTTGTTGTGTTGTGCTGTACAAAGGACGTTCCAGTTAACTTACAAACTAAAACTTGGGTTCTTTGTTATTCTGGGCCTCGATGCAACATATAGAAAACCTAGATAACGTGTCAGTATCTTGGTTCTTTTTGCCTGGTCAACTTGATAACAAAATGGAAATGTGCCAACTCTCCCACCCACTGATGACCCGACTGCATTGACCCTGGCTGATCTTAGCACAGAGGTGAAGGAGTTGGTTTCTAACCTTTGATGTTGGAGTATATACAGATAAATACAGAAGTTGTCACAGAAGAGCAAAGAACTGGAGTTTACCAAAATGTAATTGATAATTTTTCTCAGCAGGTGTAAGAGAGCCATATCTGAACACTTGAAGTCTGTTTTGTTTTTGGTACAACATGGCTCCTAACACATCTGTGCTGTGTGTCAGAGATGTTGACTATGTGTGTGTGTGTGAATGGTTGGTGGTGGTGGGAGGGGCTGATGTCACATTCTGGTTGCCTTGCTTCTGTCAGTGTGGCCCAGGGCAGCTGTGGCTACAGTAATAGTTTATCACCACAGTGTATGGAATGAAAGAATAATGACATATGAAGCGTCTTTGTCCTAAAAAGCGCTATAAAAACCAATGCATTATTAATATCACGCATTGGGTTGTTTGCTTAAGAATACTTTGATGATTCTATGGAGACTTATTTCAATTTAATTCTGCGGAGTCCTCTTCTCACATTTTTAAGTCTATGAAAATAGTCCTTTCATTTGTAAAATAACAGAAATAATCGACCAGTAGTGATTCATCTCGTCACAGCCGTCACATTTCCACACTTAAACTTTAATACTGTTGGGTATAAGTAACATATTCAACATCACTCACTTCATCAAAGAATAAAAACTTTTAATTAGCAAAAGTAAGTCTTTATACAAATAAGCAAACGAGTGCCAATTACCAAAAGCAGTCATTGCCAGTCCGGTCAAACCCACCTCAGTGCTACAGCAATCTCCTCCTGGACGGCTTTGCCTCCAGTACAGAAACATAACGCTGCTCAAAAAGCTTTGAAACGAGAAAAGTCTGGGGAATATTTGAAATGTTCACATCCCAAACCATCAGTCAAGTCTATAGTGATCTTCAGTGATTCACCAAAATGCCCCAAAAACACAGAAAACTCGACATTTTCTACATACATTGTTGCACATTTGTAGGATTATCTTTCACAAGGCGTTTTCTTTTTTGTGTGCATATGGCTCCTTTGTCCCAATAAATAGAGGTAAGGCTTGCTCACATAAGAATAACATATGAATCAAATCAAAACAAAATTCACACCTGAAAAAAACAAAAAAAGACATGCATAGGTAAAGCAAGTGCAGCAAATGAAGCGAGGCTAGTGATTGTTACGCAGCATTCTGGAAGCGCTCAGAGATAATTAATAACACAATTGGTATGAAACAAAAAAGTACAGACAAGTTACAGCGCATTACTCACATTAAACAAAAGTAGTCAGTCAGTCAGTTTGCTTTTTCAACAGTTACAACCTCCTCCCCTTTGAACCTTGTTACAGAAGGAGTGAAAGCTTTAGTTTAGTTAAAAAATACTGAATTCAGATCCGACCGGTTTTAATGAGTTTACACTTATGGACAGTGGTCATTCTGTTCCCTATGGACCAGTGATTTGTATCGTTTACAATTCAATTCATTCTTGTATAACCCTAAAATCACAGCTGTAGTTATCTCGGAAGACTTTACAAAACCTTTATAACATTTGCCAACACAGATCAGAGAATAAAAACAGTTCAAACACAAGAAATGCAAAGATAGAAAAGAAAAACAGAGCCATTGGTCCGTGAGGGGCAGATGACCAATGTTGATAAATGTCCAAGTCATCCCATTTGAACTGTATGATTTTCTGATCTGTTGTTGTATAATTGACAACTTTGTAAAATCCACCAATTGTAATTTAGGGCTATATGAAAATAAATTGAATTGGGGAATATATGTGCCTACTTCCTGTGAAAGGTGATTTTGTAGTTTTTCAGTTTGTGCAGAAACCACAAAGCAAAACAATGGGGATGAACCTAATGTACCACCGTTCTGTCAAAATTCAGTAAAAATCAAAAAGTGAAGGTAAAATAAAAATCAAAAAACATATTCATTCAGTTGAACACATTTGCATAGAAGGTTTTTTTTTGGGTTAACCTAAAAAGTCAGCATTCAGTTAAAAAAATACTTCATATACACACACACAAAAACGCAAAAATAATTATACAAATCTTTTCCATTTCACGGCAGTCCAAAAAAGCAAAAAACAAAACAAAAACAAAATCGCATTCTCCCAGTGAATCGTTCTTCGTTAGCAAAATATACGATAAAAAGGTACCTTCAGTTTTGCCTAAACTCAAAAGTCACAAAAATAAAAGGCTTCAGGATTTATAATCGGGAGAGAAGAGCCGCGACCGTGGACTGCCGCTCAGGTCCATCCTCGCCATGGAGTTGTTGTACGAGTTTATGGGCGAGTTCACACCTGAGGAAAGAAAGTTATTATAGTGCAAGACCATTTCAGAAAGAGCAGCACCTGAAAAGACTGGCTGCACTTGTTTTAATGAAGAAAACAAAAAGGCTGGTTTATGGAAACACTGATTAATCGTTTCCCCGTGTTGCCAAATTGTGACAAATGGCTTGATCTGAAATCCTTTACAAATGTATTTCTACGTTCAAATGAGATTTAATGCGTAATTACTGCAAATATTACGCGTTTTGCGGAGTGTGTGTGTGCGTGTGTGTGTGTGTGCGGCCTGCGTGATGGATCCCTTCTCTGATCGAAAGCAAAAGGGGCGCCAGAGAAAGTGCGTTTTGCAGCGTTTTCAGCGGTTGAACTTTGCACTGGTTGAGTTTGCGGAGGAGAGAGATTCTTACCCATGACTGGCGGGGTTCTGTGGACGAAGGCCGGGTGGTACGCCGGGTCTCTGGGCGAAAACAACGAGTGGAACACTGCAAAACGAGGCCACAGGTGTTAGACGAGTGAGGAAGAGGAGAGACAAGTGCTGCGAGGTCAAAGGAGAATGTAGAGAACGACGGGTTTTCATCTTTAAACATGAACGAGAATACTTACTTCGGCACGCCATGTTTTAGAGAGTAGAAACTATCTGATCATACAGTTGTGTTCAAAATAATGTTTCCAAACGTGTAACTTTAAAACTGATGTTTCTAAAGGAAAACGAAGAAATGCAGAGGAAGTCTGGAATGTGCTGCAGTCGTGGGCGCTGATGGGACCACACATGAAAATGAAACCCTAAAGATCACTCCATTTAGAAGAGAAATATTCATTATTTTCATTTTCTACAGGTACAGGTCACTCTCTGCCCAAACTAGACTCTACATGCAGGCTGTCAGACTGCTCAATGAACACTGGCCCTCTCCTCACCCCCACGGACCCCTAGTATCCTTCACTGTTACATACCCGCCATTACTGAACTGGTCGTGCTTTGTTGTAGCTAAAATCCTCACTTACAACCTGTTACTGTTCAGCTAATCCACCTCCTATAACCCTGTGCTGTTTACATCCTCCTGCAACTTCTGCATTTTTTACGCTCACGGTGATGCTCAGAATGCAATATTGTTGTTTTTGTGACATCCATCCATCCATCCATTTTCTACCCTTTAATCCATTTCTGGGTCAGGGGGGTGGCAGTCAGAGATGCCACCCAAGTCTCATAGCACCAGCCCCTCACTGACCCTCTGCAGGTGGTGAGTCCACAGGAGGACGGCTGCTCTCTGAGTGTGAGCATAGCCTTGATCTTTCAGTGGGGGCTTTGGGCAAAGTGGGGTTAAGTGTCTTGCTTGTTTTTGTGACAATGAAATTAAATGATTGAATCTTGAGTAAAAATGTGTACTTTTCCTCATGGTTTGTTTTAGGATATGAAGTCCAGTGTTCCCAATGTATCAAACTAAGAACAAGCATTTTGTGATTTCTTCATGGTTTTCAACACACTATAATTTTGAACACAACAGAGTAGGAGAAGTCTGGACAGTAAAAGACCTCCCTCTGCTGCAGTCGTGGCCAAACTACTTTACTCTGAGCCACAGTGAAGGCAGAGGAGCGACCGGGGCCAGAGCTTTTCTCATTGATGTCCAACTGTGCTTTGGTTGTCAGAGTTCTTTTTAGGCTGCACTTTTAAACCACGTATCGTCTTCCTTTCAGAGAGTTTGTCTGAAGAATCTGTATATTTACAAAAAGTAAATAAAAGGAGGCCTAAATATTTGACTAAAGGCTCAAAGTATTACTTTTATCTCGTTCAGTTCTGTTCGGATTGAACTAAAACTGGACCAAAAAGTAAAGGACAGTTATAGTTATTCATTATTTCATCATCTAACTAGTGCCAATTGCATTTTGTGTTCAGTGTTTAGAAATAGGGCGACAGTGGCTCAGTTGGTAGAGCGCCGGCCTTTGAGCCTGAAGGTCGTAGGTTCGAGCCCATCATAAGACCTACTTCGCGACTCCCACTGATGTCTCCTGTAGTTGTGTCCTTGGGCAAGACACTTAACCCCACTTTGCCTAAAGCCCCTGCTGAAAGATCTCAGCTCCCGTGGACTCACCAACTGCAGGAGGATCAGTGAGGGGCTGGTGCTAAGTGTACTAGGCGCAGCTCTGACTGCCACCCCCCAACCCGGAAATGGATTAAGGGGAAGAAAATTGATTAGAATTAGCTTTAAATTGATCCAAAACCTGCCAATTTATGCCCAAGGCCCCACATTGCACCCTCTGGACCACTTATCTTTCTGATTATAGAATTTCATGCTAATCAAACACGGTGTCGTGTAATTGGCGGCTGGCAGATGTGGTAACATGATTCTACACCAATAATAACAAACACAGTCGAAGCCAAAGGAGACCGACCGATGATGATGATGGCGGCGCCGGCGAGCAGAGCAAACAGGACGAAGAGGGTGGTCTGGTAGATGTTGAGGAAGCCGAGCAGAGACGAGCCTCCCTCCGAACTCCCCAGAGGAAGAGCAGCAGCTGAGGGCGGATCAAACAACAGCCTGTCAGACTCTGCAGACACTGAGCGGCCGACAGACGACAGCAATAAAGAGGGAGACGACTGTCGGACTCTTTGTGTGAACTGAGAGCAGAACAAAGGCAGGTTCTGTCCCGTCCTCTAGAAGCAAGTGTGATGAGAATCCGTCACAGTCGCTCCAATAGCTGCATTTAACGGGCTGATGTTCAGGTAATACAAAAAATATGACTGGGCAGGATTTCATTTCTTGCAGCCTTGTACATTTCCCCATTGCGAGATAAATAAATTCTTGTTCTCCAACCTTTTCCCATGACAGAGAGTGTAGAGAAATTTAAGATCAAGTTCTTAGAATTTCTATTTAAGAGCATTTCAATTCAGAAAAAGTTGCTTCTGTTCGTCCACTAAGACCAAAGCTACTAAAGCGGATCTTGTCAAAATGTTAAAACATTCAGAGTTATTGTAGACTCATCAGGGTTCAGTTGAATGCCACCAACAGAATTTAATTCATTTGAAACATTCCTCAGCAGTAAAATCCTTTGGGGAGCGACCTGAAAGCATCGACATCTCAGCATTAGTCATCTTGTCTTCTTTCAATCCACTTGAATATATAAAGACTGGTTTGAAAAAGGGAAATATTTTTCCTGAATCATGGGTTCCAGGTTTATATAATGTTTCCTCTTTTTCATTAATTTAGTCATTCTAATTATGTGGTGAGGGGTTTTACAGCCCCAAAAGATAACAGTAGCTGCTACTTTGCAGATATACTTTTTTTTAAAAGAACATAACAAACACTGCTTTTCAACATCAAGCTGTACTTCAATTGAACTTTCCCCGACCCTAGCCTGGGTCTAGGAGAAAGTTCAGACTATAGTCCTCGTTCTACAGTCTGAGTCCTGGATCTATAACTTGTTCGTCGTGGGAGCGGATCTCTCTCTCAATGTGGACCTCCCTGAGTTTTTATGTTGTTGTTCCTTTCCCATGAGGGGGGTCTAAGGACAGTGATGATCTCTATGGACCCAGAGCTCGGTTTGTCATCATTGCATTTCCTGTGTTCGAACGTTTGGAATCAACAACTTTGTAAAATCCTCCAAAACGATTGCTGTTGTGATTTATGACTTTACAAAAATAAATTGAACTGAATTAAATTATTAGCGAGTTGACGGCCCTGACCTTTAGCCACACTGGCGTCGGTCACTCGCATCACGGTGACGGGGACGACCAGCTTCTGTCCGGACGAGGAGGTGATGACCACGGAGGACGAGACCCCACTGCTGGCCTCTGCTGCGGTCACCGAGTACCTGATGAAGCTGGGGAAGGCCTGCTGCACCTGCACCTCATGGATGGAGACGTCTGCGGAGGTCGACGCCGCCTGTGGGTGGGAACGCCTCATTTAACTTCCTCGAAACGCATCAAAATGAAAACATGGATAATTCATGCTTTTAGTGGATGCACAGGACGCATGAGGAAACGCAGGAAAATTATCGATAATAACGCAGAAAATATAGATTATTTATTTCTGTAAAATGTGAAACTAATATGCAATATAGCCCAAGCCTTAGTTTGTGATCGTTTTGATTATCATGGCTTAAGTCCATTTTCAAAATATTCTAATGTGTTGTTTTTTTTTTTTTTACCGATTTTTCTTGTTTCACCCATAAAACTCTAAATTAGATAGTCATGAGGAAAAAGTAAATAAAGCTGGCACAAGGACAAGTGCCCAAAAATAACCATTGTAAACCGCTTTGAGACTCTGATCTGATATATAAATAAAGATTACTTACTACTACTACTAGTATAGAATAGAAATACGTCTAGTCTTGACTTCTGTAAAGGTAGTTTGTGAGTGCTGAAATGTCCCAGTGTCACAAAAGCAAAGCACAATCTTCTAAGTATGTTGAACAAGTTCACATTGGTTCACATAAACGTCAAATTGCCTTTTAGAGTGAACCGTTATCAAAAACACCAGTAAGCATCTTATTGGATAAATTTAAAATACTGTGGACTCTGCAGACAATTTGTTCTGTTTTAAGTAGAACAACATTCAGCTATTTTTACATTGGGAACATTATAAACCCATTTTAATACTAAATACACTCCCATCAAAATAATCACACTGGCATACACCTCACTCCGCGCATGTTTGATACAGGTCATTGTAATCACGGATCCATTGTGTGTTCCTGAAACTGAACAGCATGTTTTAAATCACCCGTTGTGACCATTATTCTGAATAAAATAATAGAAAGTACAGAGACCAAGCTACAAGTACAATTATATGGTTCCAATAATGCACTGAAATCAAATTGAAAAAGTATTGAGTACGATTTTGCTGGAGGTCGCGGCCCTCTTTGAAACACAGGGCCACAGTTTAATATAATCTTTTGCTTCGATGGTTTCTCTACATGGTTTTCACATCTTCTCAGAGACGCACAGACATTTCTTTCTTTTGCTGCTCCTGTTTTTTTTTTTAAATCACAAAGAACCGACTGGTGCCGAGTAAAATGATCGACAGTGAAATAATGATAACCAATCATAGCCTTATTCAGAATTCATATATATTTTTTTGCTTTTAGTGAGTACAATTGTTTACTCTGACTTCGGCCCCAAATGTTGAGCATCACAACGCTCGGGCTCCCATTTATGTACATTGTCTACCTGAAAGCTTCTCAAAAGGATTCTTATTATTCTTAGCACCGATCAAGTTCTGCCTTGAAAACCCAGTATTATGATTTTTGGATCATTTCTAACGTTTTAAAAGTTTCATTTCTAAGATGGAATGCAATACAGGAGGAGTACAACAATGTGACCAGTCCTCACCTCCACAGTGGACAGGGCGGCGGCCGGCCCGTACACCGTGAGCTCGGAGGAGGGGTGGTGGCTGGACAGCAGCAGCTCGCTCTGGTCCGAGTACAGGCCGGGCTCCACGGGCAGACGCACACCCAGCTGCTCCCCGGAGAAGGCGCTGCCCTCCAGGCCCGCTCTGACCAGCACATTAGTCAGGGACACGCTGAGCACACGACTCTGCTGCTCCGACAGAGACTGCAAGGTCAGGGAACAAGTGTACAAGCCTGCACACAACCGAGAGAGCAACCGTGGGATTAGGAAACTTGTTAACGGCATAAGAACAGTTAAAGATACATTTGGGAGGGAAACATTTCACAGTGACTCCTTTGAGAAAAAGCCGATACGTGGGAGTCCCGAAACCCGAACACAATTATAAAAGCGGGCTACACGGACCCTCTTCAGTCCAATACATCAACATGACACTTTTTATGGCACCGGCTAAAATTCATTCCACTGGCAAAACGGATATTGATTACATCCTTATAAATGGTAGTTTCCTGGCCCTTCCAGCACATGCATAAATTCTGTTCATTCCAGTTTAAGAGCAAAAGCAAACACAAGAAGAGAGATGAGCCAAACAAAACTTAACTCAAGTCTCATTATTCAAGAAAATGAAAGAATAAGCAGATCTGTTCACCAGCATTAGCCCAAATCATTTCAGAGGGATGATGCCGTTTTTATTATACTACCAGCTTTGTAATACAGATGGCTGGGGCACTCAACCTGAAAACCACAATTTCACAATGCAATTTCAGTAACCTGTTCCTGGCTCTAAAAGTTTGGTTCAATCACTAGTTTTCACTGACATTTTTGGCCTCTGTTACATATTTTTCAGTCAGAAACGTGAAAAATAGAACACCGCCCTCACTGCCAAAGTCAAATAGTGACCCTGCAGTGTCTAAGAAGAGACACCCAGACTTCCTCCTGAGGCATTCCCAGACACATGGACACTCCAGCATGTCCTGGGTCTTCCCCTGGTCTCCTCCCAGTTGGACAAGCACACAATATTTCACCAGGGATTACACAAGAAGGCATCAGGAACAGATGCCCGAGCCACCTCAACTGGTTCCTTTCGGCGTGGAGAAGCAGCGGCTCTACTCAGAGCTCCTCCCGTGTGACTGAACCCCTCACCCTATCTCTAAGGGAGCGCCCAGCCACTCTGCAGAGGAACCTAATTTTGATTGCTTGTATCCGCAATCTCATCCTTTTGGTCATTACCCAAAGCTCATGACCAGAGGTGAGGCAGGGAACAAAGAGTGACCGTTAAATCAAGGCAAGTGTTAAAAAAACAAAAATCAAACAGTGTATCAGTAAAGGAGGTTTAACTGCTCTGTACCCATGTTTGAGTCAAAGCTGGTGTGAGTTCTGAAGACGTCGTTTGGAGAGAAGCCCACAGCGTCACTGGTGAAGGTCAAGAGGCAGCTGACGGAGGCCTCGGGGCGCAGCAGAGGGATGGCTGCAGTCTGGGCAGAGGAGCAAGAACCTGCAGAAGGAACACACCACACTTTATACCAGGTCCCAGGTGTATCGAAGGCATCAGACTGAGCATCATCAGTACCAATCAGGTTGGTTCCTCTTTCTCGGGTTGACAGGAACACCTTTGTCTCGTCACCACTTCTTATCGGTGTCCCATGAGCCTGAGCTGTTGTTTTAAGTGACGCGTCCACGATCACCTGCAAAAACAGTTCAAACAGAAATATGACATAACTCTAGCCATGCATTATCTTAAACAGATACACAAAGTAGAATCTGTCCCCGTTAATGACAGCCAACACTCGCCTCTCTGTACGTGTTCAGTAATCCAGGGATCTCATAGTACACGGTCACTGTGCCGGCGTCTCGGGCTACGGCTGCACCACTTTTGGGGTCCACCTGAAGCACAGCACTAGAGGAGGAGCTCCATGTGCCCTGGACACCTGCAAACGTCAATCAAATTAAATCAATACACACTTTTTTCTGGTTGGGTGAATACATCCTTTTTCCAAATATAAATATCAAACCATCTGGGCTCAGAAGAGGGACGCTGAAGCAGACCACATCTCCCACCACGAGCCTGGTGGCCTGTTCGGGAAGGATCACATGCTCCACAGGAAGAGGGATGAAGTCTGCCACGCCCTGGTTCTCCGTGTCCCACACAGCGAGCAGCGTGAGGCCCACGTTCACCGTCCGCACGGTCACAGTGTGGTTATCTGCCCCAAAGCCCACCTGCACCAGGTCCTCTCTGCAGGTTAGACAAGACTTATTGATACTTATTATAACATAAGAATATTATATTCATATTCTACAGCTTGTGCTTTTTCTTCTACACAGAAAGAATGACTCGCTCCGTTTTTGACAAGACTGAGTACATTTACAAAGTGTGAGAAAAGTATGGCGTCTCAAACAGCTCTGACCTCTGGAAAAGGTTTACATGTGGGTGGCTTATCTGAAAGATCATAGCAGAGTCTTGTGATGCTTTCAAAGACGTCTTGTAGCCTCATTTCTTAACTTTGTAATTATAAGCACATTGTTGGCAAATGAAGACACACATCTTAGTTCACTTTGGGCTAGGGATGTAAAAAACTATGAATTTTCATGACCGACCACCGAGCCTCATTAACCGGTTGAAACCGGTTAACCGCGTAGTTTAAAATAGTCCACGTTCTTTGAAATAACAACCATTTCGAGCCGCGTACTTTTCATAAGTGCAGCTCTGCGTTCTACTGGATCAGAGTTGAGACAGCGGCGCCCAAACCCGCAACAGCTCCGGCACCTTTGCGCACAGAGAACTGCTTTTTTAATCTTCCCATTCTGCTGTGCTGCGGGTTAATACCAAAACTTTCTAGCAGCAAACGACGGCTCGTTCACATGGTCAGAGCAGCGAGTGATGAGCCGCGTCTCACAGGTCTTCACAAAAGTTTAAATACAGGTGATTTGTGTGGAGCTGATCCCGAGGACCATAAACACAAACATGTTCCATGTGGTTTGACTGGAGCCGTGTATTTGCGCGAATCCTTTGGGCTCCGTGACACAGAGGAGCGCGACAGACCGGTATGTGTGTGTGTGTGTGTGTGTGTGTGTATGTATATGTATGTGTGTGTAAATGTAAGCTCCAATGTAGTTCTGACCGCGCCAGTGTCTAACTTTGACGGTAACAGAGGGGAGAGATGGTGTGTGTGTGTGTGTGTGCGTGCGTGCGTGCGTGTGTGCATATGTGGCTCGTGCGCCGTGAGAGTCGTCCCGGAGTTTATAATACATGGGCGCACACAGCTAGATACAGACCCGCTCGTCACACCGTGCAAATAGGGCTTAAAATAGCGTTATTAAGAGACCTCCCCTCTCCCCTTTTTCTCTTTTTTAACCGACAGCTTTGACCGGTTAACGCTGTGACGGTCAACCACCGGTTAAACGGTCGCCGATTTACATCCCTACTTTGGGCATTTTTGGGCGTTTAATTTTCCCGGCGCTCACCTGCTACAGCACAAACCTCTAAAGCGATCTTAAATGCACCACGATTCCAGCGGAGTTCTGTTTTTTTTCTTTGCCTAACAAAGCAATGAAACACGTGGTGCAAGGGACAGTTTGCTTTACCCCAATGATCAAAACACAAGCATGGCTTTCCCCTGTACTTCTAAACACATGTGCTGGCCGAGTCTTGATAGGATCTGGTTCACATGTTGCATACCAGCGTAATCGGAGAAGAAAAGGTTTGATCCAAACAGACTGGGTTTCCACACCACAATGGTGCACACACGTTTACATGGGTTTGCTCAATAAACCAGGCGAGTCATTAGTGTTTTACTAGTGCTTACTCTATGACTAGCCCTGCTCAGGGCACTTCTGCAGAGATTTGGATACTCTCCTCCTAAAGAACAGTGTGTCAGCACCTGGAGAACAAGCTAATGGAATCATTTATTGCATGGACTGATGAGAATGTCCCTCATTGGGACCACTGTGCTCCTGCCCAACACTCCCATTAATTTTACTCACTCACTGAGCTGGAAACCGCTCCATCTGAAATGAGGCTGACGGAACCAGCAAGTGAATTAATGCTGCCCTCGAAAAACGACCTCTCACTCAAAGTGGCATTTATACATACATTAATTCTAAAAGAGTGAAAGAGCAAAGGTTTGGAAAGAAGGAAAGATTTTTGTTTTAAAATCCTATATTTGACAACTTTTAGCACAGACACATGGAGCAGCTTTTACACCAACACAGTTTGACTGCACCATCACATTGTGACAGTGCTTTCAGAGAGGGTTAGTCCACAGAGCAGCAGCAATAATGACAGAGTGTGTGGTGAAACCTGTTCGTGGTGAACGTGAGGCGGGAGCTGGAGCTGTGCAGGCAGTCGCCGGTGCTGGAGTGAAATTGGACGGAGAAAGTGAGGACCATCCCCAGAGGAAACGCTCTCAATCTGTCTTTGGCAGCGAAGGGCAGCACAGGGCTGCTAATGAACTGGACATACGACACTGGGACCACCTAGTCAACAAAAAACAGTCAGTCAGGGCCATTCATTGAGCCCATCGATGTATCCACAAAAACAATCTTTGGGAATTGGTTTACCACCTCGTTAGAGAATATGGGACCAAATGAAAATATATAGGAATGTGATGTTTTTAATAACGTCAAATTAGGAAATGTACAGATGTGGTTCAAAGTGTACACACCCAGCCAAAGGAGATCATGAATGAAAACACAACAGGTTTTTGGTGAATATATTGAAAATAAATATTCTCTGGGAAGATCTCAAATGTGCAGTTCATGACCAGGATTTTATAGGAACAGGGGGTTCTAACAAAAGGTGCAGCTTTACCATCAGAAAGAGAAAGAACCTCATCAACGACTCCAAGATGTCATTGATGTTAAAGGGGATATACACACTATTGAGAACAGGAGGATGGAAACTTCTGACCAGGGTCAGAAGACGAGTTTCTAACGTCATTATCATATGAAAATAGAAAACATGTGACAAACGGCCTCACACGCCACTACAAGAGTTCATTCATAATCTCAGAAAGATGCTTATGCAGCACAACCCAAAACAAAGGCATCCCTCTGTGTTCCTCCCAAATGAACGGAGCGGAGCGACTGACCTTGACGGCCAGGATGAGCGTTTGATTGACTCCGAAGTTCTCCTGCGAAGTGACCAGGAGCGAGGAGATGCCGGTGAGAGAGCTGGAGCAGAGGAAGCCTTTATCGTCCACTTGTGCGACAGCGAGCTGGTCTGGGGCATCCACCATCTGGTACGAGAGCAGGCCGACCCCGTCTCTGCCGGACAGCACACGTTTGTTAGAAGAGAGACGGCGATGGATTGGCACGCAGCGCTCAACAGACAACACTGCACATACCGGTTGGTTTGAAGCTTGAGGGCAGAGTTTGGTGCCATCAATATCTCCCCTGTCTCCACTTGAGGATTAAGCATGCGCAGCTTGTCGTAGACCTTGTTCAAAGCAACAAAAAATAATCATGTGAAACCCCAATTATTAAAAGCTTTCATCATTCTTTGAAGTTTTTTGGCAGCAGAATGTAGTCAGAGTTGGATGTAGCCAACTAATCTGCAGTCTAATCACTTTGTCATAAACTCAAAGCTCAAGATTCTTTCACTTTGATGCAAATTGAAAGAAGAAAAGAGCAGAACAAGGCATGAGTCTACAAATTTATCGATTGACAAGTATTTCAAGGGCATGAAAGATAGTAAACGAACGTTTTTTTTTTTTTTAACACTGTAGTATTCAAGTTGGGCTACCTCACTTTAAAACTACACACATCTATCTATCTAACTAGTTCCTGGCTCCAGTTTATTTCTGTCACCACTTTCCACATGCATGTCCTTTTGGCCTCTGTCAGATCAGCTTTTTCAGACAGAAAAGTGAAAAAGGGAGGACCGCTCACTCAGCTCTCAGTCCAAAGAGTTGGTGATTCACGGGGCTCTTTCTTACTTATGCAACATGTTTTCTAATAAGATGAGGTTTGAGTTGTTCACTGCCCTCTAGTTTTAGAAGACTATATTTGGTAAAACAGCTGTGTGAGGACATCAGTCTTACCTGGATCTGAATCTCATCTTTCAGCTCCTCCAAAGCGTTCACCAGTTGTCCTGCTGCGGGGTCCTTCACCCTCAGAACCACCTTGAGTCCGGTTCTCCCTCTGGTCTTTCCCGTCACCCTCATGCCAAAATTATGCTCTGCCTGCAGCTCCACATTAGTCTGAGGAATAAAGCATAATGAAAGTGATACAAACAGCTGCATCGGATCATATAAAGCTGAGATGGGAATGCAGGGATGGGGACAGTGAGCAAAGCACCTCCATCAGAATATCAAACAGAAGATTTCTCCACGGTGATGCGTACAACAGATGGTGAAGCGTGTGGTGGTGAAGGGTTCCTACAGATTTCTTAAAGATCTTTAAACACCATTTATAAAAGGAAACTCATTCATGATAATGTTTTGTGCCATATGACGCAACTCGGACTCTGAGGAGCACAGGGACTGACCTCCTGCTGGTGCCCAGAATCAGGACAGCATTTCAGATTTAAGCAGCTAAAATCTGGTTCTGAATCTTCCTGAAAATGTGACTCAGGCTTCAACTTTGACAATGCTCAAATCCAGGTTAAAAACAGTGCCGTTTAGCTGTGCAATCGTATCTTCACTCTTTTTAATGTACTGTGGTTATTTATTTGTGTGATTGTTTTATCTTGTTTTGTTAAATCTTTATCAGTTGCCGTGTTTATCAACTCTGCAATACAAAAAAGCTTGCCTTGCCATAACTATTCTTTTCATTTGCTTATTTAATACTCAAACAAATGTGAAATCCTTCCTCACTTCTGCTTGGATGGTTGCTTGTGTCTAGTTTGGACCAGGGGTGGTTGAAGTGCAATAAAAGTAGTTGATAAATGAAAGAATACGATACAGAAAACGTACACACTAGAAATGTTTTAAAAACCAACTATAAACAATCAAGACTTTGTCAAATCTTTTTGTGAGTAGACTCCAAATTCAATGCATCCAAGCCTGTTTAAGACCCTGTAGGATCCCGGTAATGGGCACCTCGGGGTGTCGTGGATGAACGTCCAGAATGTCCCTCTTGGTGGTGGACCAGTGAAAGGTGAGGCCTGGGACAGCGTTGGCCAAAGAGAAGGGCGTTTGGCTGCTGCTCAGACCGATCACAAACACTGGCATCTACAACAAAAGACAGGCTTTTCATTTACCGTCATCACTACATGTTACAAATAATAATATAATGTTGTGTCCATGAGCAAGGATCAACAAACCTGCGCTCCCGTCTTCATCCGTGTAATGGGGGCTTTGATACGAATGGCCGACAGCTGCACGACCTCCACTTCCACTTGGTCCTGCGCACAAACGAAAGCAGGGGTCGACATTACATTAAGGTAAAATAAAATACAAACAAATTGACATCATGCTCTGTCATTACCTGAGACACAACCACAAGTTTCCCAGTTTCCGCGTCAACGGCTTGAACCAGCCCCGTGACGGTGACGTTGCCCACGGTGGTCCCCTTCACGAGGCCAATGGCGCCGACGGAAGCGATCTTCTCTTTGGAAACCGAGAAAATTATGTTGGACTGAGGCTGCGGCCCGCCCTCGGATGTGATCTGAAGTGTGAGCCAAAGAGAAGAACGCTAGCTTCACATACAGGACTATAATAAGAATAATAAAGCATTGGTTTTATATGGCACTTTTTTGGACACTCAAAGACGCTTTACATGTGATTATTCTTTCACTCCATACACGGTGGTGATAAACTACAACTGTAGCCACAACTGCCCTGGGGCACACTGACAGAAGCGAGGCAACCAGTATGTGTCATCAGCCCCTCCGACCACCACCAAACATTCACACACACACCAGACTCATTCTAGGCAATGGGGGCGAAGTGTCTTGCCTAAGGACACAACGGCAGTTTGGCACTTTACAGCCGCAGCCGCCCCACTGTGGCTGGTGTTCCCAGAGGTTAAGTCGATGGTGAAAGTCGGGCTCGAACCCACGACCCTCTGGCTCAAAGGCTAAAAGCTCTACCAACTGAGCTATTGTCGCTAATATTGTTAACAGATATAAAATGAGCGTCTTTTCATAGAGTGACTCTTTCATACAGATTAATACAAAAGAATACAATCTATTCTTGTATAAAACATGTTCAAGTGCAACATATGATTGACATGCGGTAAATACCTGCATCATCGCTCCTATTAGCAAAGTCATCCTTTTTGGGATGAGCTTGAATGGTGGAAAGACCTACGAAACAAGGAATTAATAGGAATACAACAAAAAATAAGACATATTACGTAGCATTTTCCTAGCATTAGCATGGTTGGATCTAAAAACAACTCCAGGTCTGTTTTTGATGAGGGACATTGTTCAACGTGGTTGAAAGAGGAGAAAAAAGTTAAGATTCAAACCATGTACTGGTATTCTTTGCTTATATATTTTTTTTCTATTTGTGAATGTCTATAAAAGGTGGTATATCATGTGCATGTTTGAAATAAATGACTCAGACAAAAGCTCTTGACAGAGAAAGGTAAAATATTAAAGAGTACAAACCTCTATTGGTTGTGAAGCAGATGCTATTTTCCTGTCGTTTCTGTCCACAACGACAGCAGACAGCGCCGTCTGCCCGATAGCAACGCCTTTTACGAGGAACACGGCCGTGTCTTTTTCTGATGATTCCGCTAGATGCCTGTGGAGAATATTGCATTTATATCATTTTCTGAAAACAATGCCAACAGAGAAACTTGAACTCACTTTAAAGAGACGACTTGTGAAGCAGCTTTGAGTTTCAGACCCATGTGCTTGAAATAACTGACTGGGAAGGGCTGTTTGTTCTCGTCCAATACTCTGACGTAAGCTCGGACAGACTTGCTGATTTCCACCTGCAAATCAAACCTCATTAAAAGAGACATCCCCGAGGATTATTCTGGCCGCTCTGACTGTAGGCGAGCTGACCTTGTCCACTACTCGGACATAAACCTCCAAAATATCGGAAACGTGGACTGTAGATTTGACCGGAGCTGGGGAGGCTAGACAAAGATCGTGGACCATCACTTTCACAGTCCCAGAGTGAAGAGGCTTCAGCTGTGGAATCAGAGAGCAGAATAAATATACTGTGTGTGTTATGTGGGATTACCGCGACAATCAGTTATGATAAATGTGGAGAATAAATTACCTCAGCAGTTTTGGAAACTTCCTGAAATGTGACAGTTGCAATTCCTTTTGTGCTGGTGTTCACAAAGAAGTACCCAGAGCCCTCCAACAAGGCAAGATTCACCTGAAAGACACATTTTGGCACTTTGTATTAAGTAGAGGAACAATATGTTTTTTAACAATATGAGCCAAGAAACTTTTTGCCTTCAAAATTATATTTTGGAACAATTCGGTTTAATAATAATAATAATAATAATAATAATATTGCACGCCCACTTTTCACTTTTTAATTTGTTAAATTTCTACATTATACAAAAAAAAATGTTCATGACTGCGGACAAACTAGGCGTTTTGGACGTAACAATGGTGTCCACTTTTGTTACGTCGGCTGTCTTGGAGCGCTGTTAATAATACGGGCATGAATGAATCTGTGTTTAAGTAGTGCCCCCTTCACTGGACAAACAGCTGGAAACAAAACAACAGTGGGTCTGTGAACATTCAGCGGTAACAGCCGCGGACATCGAGACTTTTTCGTCATTGACCAAAATGTAACACATTGATACAGTTTAGTGTGGAGTACGGATGTAAAAAACTATGAATTTTCATGACCAACCACCGAGCCTCATTAACCGGTTGAAACCGGTTAACCGCGTAGTTTAAAATAGTCCACGTTCTTTGAGATAACAGCCATTTCGAGCCGCGCACTTTTCATAAGGGCAGCTCTGCGTTCTACTGGATCAGAGCCGAGACAGCGGCGCCAAAACCCACAACAGCTTCAGCACCTTTGCGCACAGAGAACTGCTGTTTTAATCTTCACATTCTTCTGCGGGTTAAAGCATTTTTAAGCAAAAGACAGCTCGTTCACATGGTCAAGAGCAGTGTGTGACGCACCGCGTCTCACAGGTCTCCGCTAAAGTTTAAAAGTGATGTGTGTGGAGCAGATGCCAAGGACCATCAGCACAAACATGGTCCATGTGGTTTGACTGGAGCTGTGTATTTGCGAGGATCCTTTGGGCTCCGTGACACAGAGGAGCGCGACAGGTCGGTATGTGTGTGTGTGTGTGTATGCGTGTGTAAATATAAGCTCCAATGTAGTTCTGACCCGCACCAGTGTGCAACTAGCAGGCAATAACAGAGGGGAGAGATGATGCGTGTGGATGTTACGTATCAATGGAGGGGGGGAAAGTGTGTGAGTGTGTGTGATACTGATACATTGGCGCACACAGCTAGATACGGACCCGCTCGTCACACCGTGCGAATAGGGCAGCTTTGACCGGTTAACGCTGTGAGAGTCAACCACCGGTTAAACGGTCACCGATTTACATCCCTAGTGTGGAACGAGCCATATATCAAAAATGTTAATTATTATAAACCAATAGTAATATTGTAAACCATTTGCGGTCTCCTTTTCGGTAAAACTAATAACGTAAAGTTGATAATGAAAAAGCAAAGACTCCAAAAGTTTGCCTGCAGTGAAACCAAGCCTGAGCTTCCAATGGCCTGTGATCTTTTGTGTGGTGTTTTTCTGTTTAAGAATTTAACTTTGATTGAAACAAAATATACCCAAAAAGTGGAGCAAACAATTGCATATGTATATAGAACATACGTTGATTAAGTATTTAGAGATAATTTTATAGATAGTTTTGTAGCTTTTGTATTTGCTTGTATTCGTAAGGTGGATCGGCTAAAAACCGCCCTGCCCCACTTGTTGTTAAAGTATCAAAAAAGATAATATTTATATAAACCGTTACACCAGAGTACTAAGTACCTGGACTTCGGGGTGGTTGTAGATGGTCACAGCGTTAGGAGTCACTTTGACATCTTCCACCAGCAGCAGCTCCAGCGTGGCAGCCACAGGGGCCAGCGGTTCGTACTGTGGAAACAATATAAAAATAAATACTAACCAAAACAGTGAAAGCAAAACGGTGTTGTAGAACTTGCATGGCTGGAGACTTGAGCGGCTGCGAGGTGCGAGACCTGGTACCCCAAAGCCGTCACGGTGATGGCGGCGATGCCAGTCTGATGATGGACGAGGACAGTCTGGTGCCCTGATAAAACCAGATACATGTTAGATGTTAAATCATACAAACATTGTCATAGATACGGTTATACATTTACCATGAAGTTTCTTTTGATGGTCGTCCTCCTCAATCAGCTTGAACACCAGGGGCATTGTGGGCTCAATACTTGCCAGCGAAACCTTTGTCGATTCCCAAAGGAGACTCAGCGAGCTAAAGTTATCAAACTTCCTTCCCTGATGATCAAAAGCGGCAAGCTCCAAGACGGTGTTTCGGTAGTTAGAGACGGGTACCTTTAGGCAAAACAAGGCACAAGTTCAGAATGTAGCACTGCTGGAGGACTGGTCTAGTGCGAGCTCAGACGGACCACTTGTTTGTTCTGCTGCAGGAGTGGGCAGGTGAAGTCCAGCTGAGGACTGTCGTACACGGGGACCAGGGTGAGTCGAGATGGAGGAGCGCACACAAAGGTCATTGCGGCCTTCTCCACCGCCGGGAAGGGGTTTGTCATGCTCACTTTGTTCCCCAGCTCCACCTGCAGCACCTGGAACACACGCATCAGCTCATCGTCCCCTGTTGCAGATGTGCAGAAGCAAGTTTACCAAAAGAGAAAGGGTGATACCTGCTCTCCCAGGACTCTGCATGTGGCCCTGACCCAGTGCTGTTTGGAGCTGGAGGACTGAGGGCCCACGAGAGAGAGGCTCACTGTATCCTTGTCTTCAGAAGTCAAGTTACAGAAGAATTTTGAGGGCTCCAGAACCCAGGGCCACGGTCCCCCCTCAAACAGCATGTCCTTAGAGGAGCCGAGAGTCACCACGGCCACCGAGACGGGGTCCACCGCCTGCAGGGAGAAAACATTTGTATACTTGTAATTCAAGTCAAGAGCGGAAATTTTACATTAAGATTAAACATATGTGGAACCCTAAAAGAGTCTGAATATGGTCATTGAAAGTAGACAATTGGATGCGATAAGTTCTATTTTAAGAGATTCAAATAATTACTTAGAGATAATAAGGGAATCGTGATATAATTCAAAGAAAAAAGCTCGTTAACAAAAGAGAAACACAACAGATGGATTGATGTAGAGAGAAAAAACCTAAATGAAGTGTATATCTGAATGAGTGTTTGAGCAGTTAAAAGAGAAAAGCCTGTGCCCTCACCTTCAGTGGGAGGTATGCAGCGATGGTGATCTTGGCGCTGAGGTGCACGTTGCCGTGGGTGTAGCTTACTGTAAGGGTGGTGTATCCTGCAGACACCGCCCTCACCCTCACTCCACTGCAGCGGTCCTGACCCGGGGCCAGCCTCCCTGTAACAGGAGCAGAAAAGAAAATTCTAGTTCAAGTTGAACACATTACAGTATCTGAAAGTGAACACTGGTTGATGCCTCTGCAAAATGATGTGATTCTGCTCATTCTGACTGAAGAAAGTACAACTACACAGTGGAACCTTAGGATGACTTTCCATAAGTCAAAAACAAGATTTAGAGTCTTATTCAAAACACTGCTCCACATGTGTGTCAATACTGCAGGCTTTGACTTTTTTGAACCAGACTCGTTAAAGCTGCACTAACTGACTTTGGAATTTTGAAGCAGCGGACTCGCTGGCTTTGCTCTTTCTGCTCCCCTCCCCGCACCCACGAAGCTATCGCCCCCCACACACACCCACTGTTGGGACGAAGCTAGCGTCTCCCAATATGGATAATACATGGATATGGATTTTCACGTGGATGGCGTGACCATAGAACGATAGAACCGGGAAGCGCGGAGGAACGGGACTTTCTTTTGGATGGTTGTCTCGCTGTGTAAGCAGTAACCGGTGACTAAGACACACGAAGCTTCAGGTTAGCTCGGCTGCTTTTTGTGCAAACTCAACTGTCTATGATAACAGACCTGTAGATTTCTCACGAAAGTGGGGGCCAGTGGTCCGCTATGATTGGTCACAATCTGCGACCCGAAACACATTCTCTTCCTTGTTTCATCAAAACTTGAATTAAAATATAATGTCACGCCAGCACAAATCTGCGCTACTTTTATTCAAAAGGACGTATATCCCAATGCACTACATGGACATGGATAGCATTTTCGTAATGAATACGAAAATAAAGTCAGTTAGTGCAGCTTTAATCTGGATTTTTACAAGTGACGACCTTCCTCTGACTCCCTGCGAGGGAGTCTAGAGTCCTTTTGAAAAGGCCACACTCGGCCCATACAGTGTACAGTGTGCCAGAATAACTCAATTTGATGGACGATATATAGATTCTGATAAGATACTATTGAAACTACTAAATCCACTGATGTAAGTACAGTAAAACAGGATAATCCCAGTAAAGATGCACCAAGAAAATAAAAGGCTGTACCCTCTACAGCTAAAACTAGTTTAAAATGAAAATTCAAATGTATCCTCTATGGCAAAGGAAAGGTCCAAAGGATATTGCTTCATCCATGAGTTATTGAACGAAAGGTTGATGTCATAATATCCTCGTCAGGTCTATGTCTAATACTTATTATTTGGAATTCTGTCATCTTAAAAGGTTTATGGGACAGCCTAATTTAAACAAATAATATGTGAACTTTAAAGTGATTGTCTGGAGTTTGTCAGAAAGAGAGAGAGAGGTACTTGATTTGAAAAAAACCACGCAAGCTCCCTCCCCCTTCCTCTTTGATTGGTCATATACATTATTAATACACATGCACAGAGGTTTTCAGAATTATTTGTTCTATAAACGTTTTAATAAAAAAATAATGTTTTATGCACAAAAAAAGCGATCGCGGCAAACCCGGAAGAAGCTATTATCATTGATTGAACATTATAGAAGAAGGTCCTTTATTCAGTGGGGCGGCTGCGGCTGTAAAGTGCCAAACTGCCGTTGTGTCCTTAGGCAAGACACGTCAGCCCCATTGCCTAGAATGAGTCTGGTGTGTGTATGAATGGTTGGTGGTGGTCGGAGGGGCCGATGGCGCATACTGGTTGCCTCGCTTCTGTCAGTGTGCCCCAGGGCAGCTGTGGCTACAGTAGTAGTTTATCACCACCGTGTACGGAGTGAATGAATAATGACACATGTGAAGCGTCTTTGAGTGTCCAGAAAAGCGCTATATAAAACCGATGCATTATTATTATTATTCGTCCCATGATGGGGAAATTTCAGTTTGATGCATACACATATAGTACATTCATATATTCACATCAAGGTAGGGCTGGATGATAAAACGATAACGATATATATCGCGATAGACACGTGTTCGATATCAATAGAAAACGGGGTCGATAGAACTTTCGATAGTTTAACTTCACTCCGTTCGAAAAAACAGGAACGAAACACAGGAAGTGAAGCTGAGTCAGAAGCGCGCGGCATTCTGGGGGATGTAGGCAGAGACTTCTCGACCTATCACAGCCGACTACAAACCGCAAAACTTTCGGGGAATGAAAAAAAACAACCGCACCATGCGTAGCGTCCATGGATCATGGATCTATTATAACAGCCCTGGATCTAAAGATCGTGTCTCAGTGCCGTGTCAATGGTTAAACATGTCCTGCGAGGAACAGCATGTGCGGCGCGGGAGAGGCAGAGACTCGATGCATTCGGCAAAAGCAAGAGATTAACTTTCCGGAGCCGCCATGGGGACACAGGACACTCGAAAACAGGTGCTAAACCAGGACTAGACGAGGATTAAACCAGGACTAAAGTGGGGGAGACTGCTTGTGAACATTTGGCTCCAGCCTCATTCCCCCGTGACTGTAAACAAGGCTGCTAATATGTGCTAGCCGACCAGACAAATGTATTTATTTACGTTTTAGAAAATAAATAAAAAACAATCAATATATATCGTTATCGACCGATATGAATTACTTATATTGTGACATAGTTTTCAGTCATATCGCCCAGCCCTACATCAAGGCATGCAGCGAACATCATGTCCGCGCTCCTTATAGGCTAAGTGGGTTAAGTGTCTTGCCCAAGGACATAACGACAGCAGGCATCAGTGGGAGTCGGTGGAGAAGATCCCGTGGTGGGCTCGAACCCACGACCTTTGGGCCCAAAGGCCAATGCTCTACCAACTGAGCTACTGTCGCAGAGGATCTGATTATGGATATAGGTTCAGTATATAAATGAGTAACTCAGCGCAGATGTTCAGAATTCTTTGGTCAGTTTTCATGTAGTTCCAGAGCCTAATAGAGGCTTGATTTGCGGGCTACGTGAAAACAAACAACTGAGCATGTGCGCAGCTGCGAGCATCAGCGCCGATGATTGACAGCCCTTGGCATGACTCGATTGGTTAACGTGGACGGCATCGTGGATTCTGAGCTATAGCTAAGAGCAGGGAAGGCGTGACTTACCCGTAATATTAATAATAGAACCCATAGAATTAATAAAATGACTTATTTTAAATCAACATTTAAGGCTAAGAGGTCAATTTAAACACATTTCTTAAAATTTTTAATTCATTTAGAGTTACAGACTATCACTTTAAGTGCAAGAAAACACATTTAAGTAAACTCCTTGTTACCCTCGAGCAGCTGGAAGACTCCCTGGTTCTCCTCCTCCACCTGCAGGTCGAAGTGGGAGCAGTCACTCAGCATCACTTGATATTTCTCCATCTCCTCCAGAATGCCGAAAATCCTCAGGGGCAGCTCCAGCACTGTGTCCACCCTGGCCTCCACTGGACAGGGGGCAAAGTCCATCGCCACAGGCTCCACCACATACACCTAAGGGACATTTCAGATCTCTTGTTACAGCCACATCAAAACTACAATCATTGCACACATTGATCAAATGTCACAGTAGTTAATGGTGTGTCAGGCTTTTGAGTTTAAAGCATGAATTAATGACTTTTCTGACTTTTCTTTGATGGAAAACCTATTACTGTAGTTTCTTTCATTTAAAATAATCTTTTTAAAGCTCTTGAATGATGACTTCATACCACAATTTACATTTCAGGACACGTAAGGCAAACAGTGATCATTAAATCTTATTTAATTTACTTTGTACAAAAATGACTTACTACATAATAAAGGTAAAAGCCATTAACATTGCAGAGGAATTCCTAACGGTGCCAGAGGAACACTTGGGGCAATTAAACCATGAGCCTCGTCTCGTCCGCGTCTTACCTTCATCTGGCCAAAATGCAGCGGGTTCCGCAGATCGTGGGCATAAACCACGCTCAGACCCACATCGCTGACAGTCGTCATCCGCCCTCTCACAGTCACGGAGGCCACGGCTTTATTGGAGGAGGACCAGCTGAAATTACCACTGCCCCCAGACGCCTGCCACAAAGACATTTCACAAATCAGACTCATACTCCAAATATAATTCAGTTCCAGAGTCAGGCTTACATTTTAATAATAATGCATTGGTTTTTAATAGCACTTTTTTGGACACTCAGGGACGCTTCACATGTCAATATTCATTCTCTCCATACACGGTGGTGATAAACCACTACTGTAGCCACAGCTGCCCTGGGGCACACTGACAGAAGCGAGTCAACTAGCATGTGCCATCTGCCCCTCTACAAACCATTCACACACTAGACTAATGTGGGTGAAGATCTCCCATCACATTACTAACCAGGCCATGCCCTTCTTAGCCTCACACGGGATCTGGCTTTCATATGTCGGTATGGCCACATTTAAACCATACATTTAAACATAGTATGAAATCTAAAGAAATTAAAATAAAATAAAAATATTCTTAAATAGAGTTGCAACTACTGACTTTTCATATGGATTACTCTGGACATTATGTTTTAATGAATTGTTTATCGCTTCACAAAAGGCTGGTGAAAATGAATAAACATTTGTTAAAAGACAGAGACGAGTGTTGCGCGCCCACTCCCCTGATGTTTCTAACCTTATGTTACAATGTCGGTGCTGCTGATTGGCGAGTGTTCGGGCCAGAATGCAGACTCTCACTCTTTGTGATTGCGGACATGGGGTCTGGGCCTGCAGACCTCTTCAGCCACGCTTCTCTCTACATCTTTTGCACTTGCACACGCGTTACACATAAGGTCATCGACGCTCACTCACACACCACAGTACTTGCCTGATCATTAAACTATAACATGGGCTCAGAGCTGTCAAACTGCTCTGTTCTGTCTCTCATCCTTTCCGTAGCCATGGGAACGTAACAGTTTGATTAAGAATATATATATTTTATCCCCACCGCTGTCAGACTGTACAATAGGTAATATTAAGTCACTTGCATTAGCACTGAAAAACCTGCACTACTTATTGACACTGCTTCTTGATTGCCGCTTTTGAATTGCTACTTTTTATTGTACATAATATTACCCTGCATTGCACAATCTTGAGCGTTTCTATCCATGCCAGATGTGACATGTAAATTTCTCCTGTGTGAGATCAATAAAGTCCATCTTATCTTTTACAGGTACAAATTTCGTCCTCATGGCATATTTCAGTCTTATTCAAACAACATTTGATTGCTTTATGATTTCTATGTTTTATTAACTCTGATTGCAGGGATAAGAGCCATTGTACACAATAAATAATGCAAATGATAGGAAATATACTGAAGGACAATGCAGCTTATTTGTGCAAGCCAAAATTACCTTTATGGTGTACTGATAAGCTCCTATCTTTGGCTGCCATGGAAACGTGAGGATGCTGGGATGCAACACTATTGGGTTATAGATTTCCACATCTTGCTCGTTGTGGACTGGGTTTGAGAGCGTGAAAATCTCGCCATTCTAAAAAAACAAACACAGAACATTCCAATATAAACAAAAAGTGTCTTGTGATTTTATGAGAACAAGAAAAAGCACAAAACCCACTCCTCCCACGACAGCTGTTAAAGTAGCATCGATCAGCGTTAAGCCTTCATCCAGAGCCTTGACACGGTGGTATGACCCGTTCAGTGACGAGTCCAGCTTCTCAAAGAACTCTGCAGGGAACACGGCGTCAATGCGGACATTCTGCAAAACAGCAAGAGATTAAAACAGTGAAACAGTAAACGAAAACCGCAATATCCATTTATTTATTTATTTAGAGGATAAGCCCCTTGAGATGAACCATCTCATTTTCGAGGGGGTCCTCGAGATTTCACAATGTGACAGATACAGCAAAACAGATGCAAACAAAACAAAAATACAAGAAAATAATTTAAAAAATACATACAAAAATACACACACATAAACCCTCAATCACTCACACACATCTATGTGCTTACATCAGACAGGTGCATCTTGTTGCCAGTCTTATCGAACACTTCTATTGTGATGTCGTACACTCGGCCCGTCTCGAGGACCCAGGTGTCCCCAGGGTGGATTTTAAAGCCTGAAAAATAGACACATTCAAATGAAAGCGACTGTTTTCATATGACTTCATCAATAGTGACGCTTTATACAAACCTAGGTAGCCGGGTTCAACAACATACAAGGTGCTGTTGGGAAGGCGAGACACTCCTTGCATTCGAAGACCTAGATTTAAAGTAGTTAAAGGACCTTACTTTAGAATGAAATAAGGTACTAGCAAACTAGTCAATTATTTTAGTTAATTTAGACTCTTAAACAACATCTTTAGACGCATTCAATGTTATTGGAATGTGAATATAAATGTCTTAAAACCATATATTCAATTCAATTAAATTCAAAGGACAATTGGACAGCTGTAAATTGCAACAGCAGGACTTCATCAAACAGTTGGAATAGAGGAAATACAATAATAAACACATAGGAGCTATGGGTCCATAGGGAGCATCATAATCACCATAAATGATAATAAATGTGCATATCTGAACATACATGAGGATAAAACAATGTGATTTGTAATCACAAACCATGTCGTGGTAGAAGTGGGAAATTACATCCTACTTTTATTAAAATGAATAAACATGGCAAAGTCGAGTTGAAGGCTCACAGTTGTAGAAAAATAAATATGACAAGAGAAATTACACAGACCATTTTGCAGGAAATACTTTTCTTTTGGGCAGAAGGGGAGGGGCCAATTTGAGTCACTCATTGAGTGTTGGAGGTTATTATCATAAATCAGGAATTGGCCAACTAAATAAGCTTTCCTGATTCTTCCTGATTATTGATAGAAAATGATGAAATCCATGATATTCATGGGTGAATGAAGTGGAAGGGCACGTGAGGGGCAGTGTGTGGAAGGATACTCTTATGGTCCAGCACCACATTGATATGGCCGAGTTGAACTGCAGTTACTTCTGAACTTCTTTGATCCAGGCTGGCCACGGCGAGGTCAGGCTTTCCATTGGCTCCAACTGCGCTGTTCTCAAGGTGCAGCTCGTATTGATCACACGGCATCACAAGCTCTGAAAAGATAAAAAAATACGGGCTCAGCCTCAGGAGAAGGTAAGATGGTGATTATATCTGCTCTAAAAGGTGACGCCAATGTCATAAAGTGCATCACACACCGGTAATAGAGCCCTGTCGTATCTTCAGGACTTTATATCGGATCGAGGTGCCAACCAGCAGGTACACGTCATAGGCCGGACTCAGCATGATGTTCTCTAAAATCAACAGTCTCACTTCAGCAGCTCCCACATCCTGTCGCACACAAACACCATGGTTACGACGGCACAACAGTGTGTCAGCTTCCTGCCACATCAAACAATGACAAGCTGGTTGCACAATCAATAAGCAGGACCGTTTTAATATTATGCATGTCAATACTACTTATTAATACCATCGGTTTATACAAAAAAAAAACTTTCCTTGATTATATTTCATAATGTGTATTTCACCTACCTTGTACAACAACTCCTGTATTTTGGCCTTCAGTTTGGCATGACCCGTTTTCAGTCCAGAAACTAAAATGATATCGCCTTGTTTCCCAACACGCTCCATTTCTGATATATATGCTGGGGGAGTGTACGTGGACTCAGAGAACTTCATCACTCTTGGAAATAAAAAGGATTACATAAATCATCATATAAAAAAAGGTTAATGTAATGAATTTCCCAGGAATGATAAAAGTTCACCTCAGTGAATTATAGGAATCTGAGAAACCATTTGTTTCAACATCTTTCACCAAAGTCCAATCAAAAACTAGGCCAGCGAGAGTGCTGAAGGTGTTTCCTGTCATTTGAAAAGGTTAAATGTCACCATTTATGCAGAAAATATATACATCTTTTCATGCAAACAAATCCATAGTTGAAGGCTTGTATGTATTTATGTAAGTATGTATGTGTGTGTATGTATGCAAGAAACTATGTATGTATGTATGTAAGTAAGTAGCTATGTATGTAATTATGTATGCATGTATGTATGGACAGATTATTCGCGTGTACCTTCTGAATCCAGTGCATGAATCCTCAGAGCCAGTGGAGAGTCTTCCAGATGCAGCTCTCGAGTTGTGGACACAATCTGGATTTCGCTGATGACGTCCACAATGGCATCACAGCGCAGGACTTGCCCTGTGACTGGAACAAGAAGAAGCACATTTTCAGAATTAAAAAACATGTCTTCTCTGGTATGCTCCACATGACCAAACTGTAAGAATCATGTATTACAGTAACCACAACCGCCCATGGGAAGACCGAGAGAAGCGAAGCCGCCAGCCTGAGCCATCAGTCCCTTGACCACACACAGCATGTACACTGTGCAGTATGGGCGACAGGTAAGGTGCTAAAGCCATCCCACTGAGGCACACAGTCTAGACTCAACCAAGTACTAACCACTAATCAGGACCATCATGCTTTGATTTCAAGACAAAGACATAGACGCTCAAAATATACCTGGAAAGGTCAAATTAAATAATTACTACTAGTAAACAATCTTAATATTGTTGCTGCTTATTTAGATATAGAATATGTATTGAAATATGGCTTTGACCTACAGATAATGAAAACATATGAGTGTCAAAAAATAAAGAATATCGCATAAGACCAATCAAAAAAAACCTCTGTCGCTAACACAAAGTGGTCTTTGAGATCCTAAACAGTGTCATTCAGCCAACTTCAGCTCAGTTAATACAAGCATGGTATACTTTGTAAAGCTCAAAACCACTGGAATTCAGCTGTTGACTTTATTTGTTTATAAACAAACTGACTGTTTTTTACTATGTCACAAAATTCCATGAATGGTGCTAATGTAGCTGGTGAGATGGTCATTTGTCATTCAGCCAACTTCAGCACTGTCCAAACGTATTCTAAATCTCAGATCAGCCCAAATAAGGTCAAAACAATTTTAGTTCTCATTTTTTAAAGGTGACCATTTAATAGGGCAATCTATTTTTGTGTGTCTAATGTCAGATGTATGCACAATTTTAAAAGCAATGCATCATGTAGGTTCTGTTTATTTACCAACATCTTCAGCCAGAATGATGCTGGTGAGTCGGGAAGGCTGTGTGGACATGGCCTGAAGAAGAGCTTTCCTGGAGCATCCTCTGCTCGTGTCCTCCTCTAGGGCCTGGATACTCGCCACTTCTGGTCTTGTGGAAGTCCTAGTGGATGAAAGCAGATACAGGGAAGGGATTGTGGTTTGAGACATAGTTATTTATTAATCAACTTGGCATTAGCTTATCCTCTTACAACACCAAATAATCTACACATATGCACAGCCTATGATGTGTTGTGAGATATGTGACCACAAACTTAACCATAAAACAAAACAACTATAGACAATGTAGCTTATAACACATATACTGGCAACATGTCTAGCTGCTTATTACTCTTGTGCAGGGAACAGACTTGAGTCAACATAGCATTTGTCCTATCAGTAAGACACGCCTGCAAGTGCCCACAAAGCACCCCCTGCAGTTTCATAGTGACAAACCACAACTTATGAAAGTACTCACCATCTGTAGCATCCCTCCGTGGTTTCAAGAATAAAGTTAATCCTTGTGCTTCGTGTCAGTGGCAATAACACTTTAGGGATATTTAACTTAGAGCTGCCATGGGCGTTTAACACAGACATCAACAATAGCAGCAATAATGAAAGGGCATACTTTGAATAAATCATTTCCGCTAGTTACAGAGATTTCCTATAGCTCACGATATCTCAATGTGCTCGCTTGGCTCCGGTCCAAACTCGTGTAAAATTACATAAATCGTCTTAAATTACAAAACAACACAAATGAAGTTCACATTCAAACCAAAGCTGCCTCCGAAGCACTTTCAGTTACAGTAGTAAAGAGAGCTCCAACTCCTCTTATTCAGCTGCTGGTTTCGTTTTCGCGAATAAATTAATTCAAATACGCAGTGCGGTTATTTCCCAGCTGCGGAAACATTAGAAGTGCAAATAAAACCAGTGCAAAGGCTTAAAACGCTCATATTTGCTGCAAAAACCCGCCATAAGCAATAAACGTGCACACCGGGAGGAAACTGACGTCATCAAAGGGGGCCTGGCGCTGACCGCGTGACGACATTTCTTAAAGCGACAGTCTCTTTGTTTACATTTTTTACATTTGAATAGATCATTTGCAAGAACAGAAGAGAGACATTGATTTTTGTTTTTAAAGGTTTTTTAAAGGCTTGCAAATTTAAGCCATTTTCACACCTTCTTGAGCTAATTCTTTACATTTCCTGCCAATTACAAAACATGTTAAAGATTAACTCTAGCAAACATTTTTTTGTTTTTCAAAGCGAAGATATCTGTTTTTGCAAATTAACTCTTCACTTATTCCTCCTCAAGCAGTAAGGGAGAAACTCGTCACTAATATTTTACAGCATTATAATCTTTTTCAAAATTGATAGTTAGTATATCTCATTACGAGTGTAATTCATGTTACAATTCATAAAGTGCATATTTTCTTAGCTTTCTTACCATTTTCATTTAAATCAAGAAACAGAGATGATCAGTATAATGAATATACCAACAAAGGGAACATAAAAGATCTTGATTCTCCAAAAACAGTATTTGAGATAATCAGTGTGATACAATCAGTGTTGTGTACCAAAAGCAATTTAGACAACTGTAACATTTTGAATATAGTAACATTGTAATACAAATATATATTTTATATTATTTCATCCCAGAAACTAGTAAATGTTGTTGAAATGTTTTACTATTATAGAGCAACTTACCCAAGACAGGTGGTAAGTGTTGGTAATATATATTTATAAGTTATATCTGTAAAAACAGCTGGATTTAAACACTGCTCAACACTGTATTGTTTTCTCTTAAATAATTATATTTCCTTATGGTGCTATTTTCACTTAGCACTTACATTTGATTTAGAATCTTAAAGCAACATCCTGCAGTTATAGGCTTTAAAACGACACTTTACAATCTAAAACTTGTGCTCCACTTATTTGGCCACATAAAGGTTCTTCTTGTTCTGATCACCAATTTGCTTGTCAGCCAGACTCTATCTACATTCTGATCAAATGCCAGTCTTTTAAAATTATTTATTCTACAATCGTGTGCGTCTGGCTGGTTCGGTGACCAATTTGCTACCGCTGCTTGGGTTTGGGAAGTGACCAAACCAAGAAATTGATTGGCAACCTAAATGAGAGACTCATGTGACAGTCATCCTACCCTCTGGTTGGACGCTTGTACAAAACATGTTTAAATATAAAATATGGCTCTCGTGACTATTGTTATAAAGCAGCATTAACAGTATCAACCTTGTATTCGGTTAGACAGATAGAATCTTTATGTCAATATTTAAATATTAAATAAATAAACAGCTGGATTTTGGTGAGCCTTCACTTCATATTGTCACACTCTTGACTAACTTTTGTTTCAGATTGTTTTCTAAGTATACACATTTTTTATTATATCTTCAATTCTCTGGTGTGCAAGCAGCTGTCTGCCTTTATGAGTCTGTCTGTCATCTGGCATGCATCAGAAGTCACATCCTTCCTTTCGTCCACAGACCGTCACTATGCATGAAGAAACTGGTGAGTGAAGAATATCATTTTCTTGTTTCCATGGTAAATACAAATGAAAAATGAATTCCTCTAATGTGCCAGTGATATCCCCTTTATATGGGATTTTGTAGAATTTTAGATGTCAATTAGTTGAGATGCCTGACTTCATTTTCATTTTCTGAAATAAACAAAACATTTCTATTGTCCCAACAGAGAGAGCTGTGTAGAAGGAATATTTTCAAAACGTATCAGACCATAACATGCGGTCTCATTAGAAAACGTGTTATCTTGTTCGAAAGAGCCCTATGGCTTTGGGCTGAGAGATGATTGGCTGAGTGAGAGAGCTCTGATAAACTCCTTTTCACGTTTCTGACTAAAAAAGAGGATGATGTGACCAAAAAATACAAGCATGTGAAGAAACTTTGAGATTAATACTGATAAAACTAATTTCAGAGCAAAAAGAGAGTAACATATTTGGATATTACATGATTAAATGTATTGTGGCTTGAAAGTGAGGTCTCAACAAGTGTGCCGAACCAGAGGACTACAATGTGAAATTGAAAACCTAAATGAATTATTATATATCTGTCATTTGAGTAACGGTAGCTACCCTATCCTTAAATGTTAGCAGCTCTCTAGTGTACAAAAGCCCCATTTCCACCAGCCTTCCTTACGGCCCTACTCTACTCTACTCTACTCGGCTCTACTCTGTGTGGTTCCATTACACTTAAGTATCTGCTCAGGACTGGAGCTGGAGGATCTTTCCTATTGCGCATGTGTTTAGTGGTAGGGGAAACGAGAGCACCTGAGGAAACCTACACAGACACGGGGAGAACATGCAAACTCCACTCTGTTCCGTCCATAATTCGAACCCGGGTACCATATTCTGGAAACCCACCCACAACAAACCAGTACACGGGAATATGTTGTGGTCAATTCATACTCTGGGGAATCACTGTCAGACAAAACACATATTAAACGCTCCCAATCGGGGTTAAGATAAGATAAGATAGACTTTATGGATCTCACACGGGAGAAATGTGCATATCACATTTGGCATGGATAGAATCACTCAGATTTATGCAAATGACAGAAGTGTGCAAACATGTTAGAGGCAAAAAATATAGCCTGTTTAGGATATATTATGTGTAAAAAGTGGCAATTAAAGAAACTGTGGCTATAGTAGTGCAGGTTTTTACTCCTATAGTGCATTGGTGAATTAAAGGTGCATTACGCAATTTTGTTAGCTTAGCCGTAGCACCAACTCAACCAACTCAAACCTACCCCTCCCCTCGCCTTTCCACCAAACCAAACATCCAGCATTTTATTTTCTTAGTCACAACCGGGAGAGTGGGCGGCAAACGTGAAATTGGCCTTTTCTGTTCAGCCCTTTTAAGTTTAAGAAAATCCGATAACTCAGGTGCACTCGCGAGAAACAGGAAGAGGGTGAAGGAGGTAAACGCATCCCATTGGTTCGTTGGGGATGATTGAATCCCATTGGTTTGTTTTTATCGGTCCGCTCCAAAATATTTTTTATTCATTTTTGGAAATCATAGGAATCTGGTCAACTCCATTACTATTTAAAAACACATGATAACTCGATAACTTTTAGGGCTTAGGGACGTTTTCCCACAATATGTACAAAAATGCGTCTGGAAAAAATCACTGACTGCATCTGCTTATTGAGTAGAGTAGAGTAGGGCCAGGTAAGGCTGGTGGAAACAGGGCTAAAGAGTGTCAATAATTATTTTGGCCTCAAGAATCTAAAATTCTTGATGGACACAGCACATTTTTTTGGTTATAGTTCATTTTAGTAATTATTTGTCTTATGTCATGTGTTTGTATTAGTGCCACAGAAGCTTTGCTGTTGTATGCTTGTGGTCCCTGAGGCCTGAGGTGGGAGCATGTTCCACTCAGGTCCTGTCCCATTAACCAGAGCCTGCAGGACTTTACAAGACCCAGGTGGGGAGTCCTGTGAACCTATTTACTTACTGTTCCTAATTTTCTTTACTCCGCAGCCCAGTGCGGTTCCACAGCGTTTACTTTTTGCCTGTTAATGACTTCCGCTTTTCATCTGTGTAGTTTTAAAGACCAAACAAGTTCAAAGTATACGACATGAGACATTTTGCTTTCTTCTGTTTTACTGCTGTTTTGCTTAAATTGAAAATGTGCGGTATTAAGAATGCACTTGCACGAGTGGGTGAAAGGCAATGTCAGGCATTTTTACATTTTGTGAAACTTAAAATAACCCTATTTCAATAATCATAAATAATGATTGATAGATTTCTCAAATATTAAAATACTTGGTTGCTGCAGCCCTAATTCAGATTCATATCCAGAGTTATTCGCCATTCGCCATAAAACCACATTGGGATACAGTACCCCATGTGCTCCAGACAAATATGTAAAATATAAAAAATTATAATCGAAAAAAGTACAAATGGTGAAATTCTCAAACACATATTTCATTTTTTACCCCCTATTATTTATGATTTTTCCATTTTCTGTTTTCCTATTTTGACATGATTTAAAACATAAGTATTGCTTGAAAGTACTGACTAATAATAAAAGCCTTTACCAAATCATATGTATCTATCATGTACAAAATAGCTGTAAAATACTATTCATTAAAATGCATAGTTGGATACATATTCATGATGTAAAATTGACAATTGACTAGTTATAAATCCCTAACTCAACTTGGAGAATTTCTAGACTTGGAGAAACGCTGACCATCTGTTTAAACAAGGAGCCAGACCGTACATCACACAACAGACTGAACAGAGGCCTGAGTCGACAATGATGTCACTATCACTGGCACTTCTTTTAATGAAAACCAAATCAGTGATGCAACCATTACATCAGCTTATCCAGGGGAACAAATAATAAACACATCTTTTCTCGTTTGCAATTCTACACGGCCGCTATGAAACACAGACACATGCCCATTAAGACTCCCTCCGAAGAGCCAAGGTGAGGCAGTTATATCCCGGGCCTGGCTGATTATCCACGGCAGAAGTCACTTTTTATGCATGAATGAGCAATTACAAGAGAGAGGGGCGCGATGAGGCCTGCCCAATATGTGTGTCGGCTGGCATTATCTGGCCACCTTAGAGTCATTAGTTACAATCTGGGGAGGTCAACGCAAAGGGCATCTCCTAGGAATTCCTCCAGCGGTGTAAGATATTAGGAATCCGACACTTTAATTGAAATATATCTGCATTATGTGTCAAAGGACCACCCTGGAGATACTGTACAGTCAAAACACGACTCTATTGTTGTACTATTGGACTCTTGTTTAAAAGTTATGCAACCAGGTTTTCTCTTTTTAATAGTGCAGAGATGAATAGGTATTGTGTTTTAATAAGTTTCACCCCCTAGTGTACTTATTATTATTATTATTATAACATGAGTCAGAGAAATGAACGGTCAACGTGGAGGGTCTGTGTAGAGGAGCTTCCCCAAAGACACAGCGCGAGTTCAAGCTAGGATACTAATTTTAGACGACTTAAAGGTGATTCGAGCGTGCAGACGTGTTGCTTTGTGTGTCCATGTCACTGCCTTCAAACCGTTCAGGCTAAGTAAAAGTAATGAGATTTTACTTTTGCCAAGTTTTCTTTCACCTGGATCAATATTTTTCACCACGCATGAAGCTATGAAGGGATGGCTGCAGAATACCCAATCACACCCAATTGAAATGCATGACACGGCGAAGGGGGAATTTGATTATGCAGACCAGAAAGAAGCAATAATGAGTGTCTAACTCCTGTCTGACATTGATTAGTCATAGCAGCCCCCTGGAACAGTGACCGGCGGCCTCTGCGGTCTGCCCTGGGTCATCCGCCTCTTCATGTGTGGCTATTGTCGCTGTGTAGAAATCACCCCCAAGATCAAAAAGTGAAGTCAGGGAGAAAGTGCATTAAAGCTGGAGTACCTAACTTTGAAATAACCAAACAATAGCTATACTATCAATCCTCTATCGCTCTCTGTTTGGTTCAGTCAGTCAGTAGTTTTCACATGTTTTGATCAGTTTTTATAAGTGAAAAAGAAAGGACCACCCATCCTCACCCATCTCATCAGCTGACCCGCTCTCAGTATGTAAAAGATAATGTGTCTGATTTGTTTACAAAATGTTCCTTAAACAATGTTCCTAGACAAAACGTTAGGTACTCCAGCTAAATGGTGCACTGTAAAACTCTTTGGATCCACTTCCCACACAGTTGATGATTTTAGGGACCAAAATCATGAATTTTCACATCACGTTGGCTCTCCTCTCTCCAATATAGATGGGTCATTGAATACTGTGGAACAAAAAACCTAAATTCAGCCATTACCTTCATTTCTAAGCCCCTCTGATCTACAGTATGATCCTGAGGCTTTTTAAAGTTGGGATATGTAACTTTCAAACCACAATAATGAAACTACATGTATATATCTGGCTTGAACACACTTCATCAGTTTTTTATTTTTGTCACATCACAGCTTTTCCAGACAGAAAATCAGCTCTCAGCCCAAAAGCAAATCAAATAGTGACTCTCTTTTTTACAAGTCGGCAAAATACATCATGTTTTCTATAAAGATGAAGAAAGCATGTGGTACTCTGATCTGTTTATAATATCAGTTATGAAAAAGAAAGTGATGTTCCCCACCTTTACCACTTGAACTTAAAACCATTTGACGGTTTTTAGTCTTCGAAGCATAATTACTCTGCTTTTGTACATTTTTGCTCTTAACTTGGTGACTTTCTCTGTTTCTATGTCAATATTTTTCATCAACTGATCTTTTTATTTTTGAAAGGTGAGTAGTTTTAGCTTGTTTACTTGCAGCAGTTAGTTGTGTAAATCTCTTAACAAACTGTTTTTTTTCTGTATTTCAAGTTATTTTCACCAGTTTTGGCACTTTGTAAAAGGGTTGTCGAGAAAAGACAGAGACACTTTAATTAATATACTTTTTTTCCCAGAATACCATTGATTTGAATGAGAACAGGCAAAATTGCTTTGGGATTTCTAATGGTTGTATCTGGGGGGGGAAAACACCTCTCCATATCCCCATCCATCCCGTCTCTTACGTAAACCGTACGTTAGGAAATCTCTATGTTATTGCACGAGGAATACGCGGGTAACGCACGCAGAAACACTCATATTACTCAGGGATAGAGAAAGTATTTCCACGAACACTTTAAGCCCCGCCCTCGCTCCTGAGAAGCGCTCCCAAGTTTTAAGCGACTCAACTTTACGCACAACTTTCCCAGCGGAGTTCAGCGGCACCGAGAGGCGTAGGACCCAAAGGTAGACGCACCTTTTTTTAATTGTAACTTTTTTCTTATCTACCCGTGTCTTTTAAACTTCACATAAATGATAGATATCTGTGTGTGGTGTTTGGGATTTGGGTCCGCGCCACAATAGTGAAATGTTCTCTGATTTGCATGTGTTTTTAGTATTCAAGTTGCTTTTATGTTTCAGATCACGACAATTCTATCTCTGTCTATATATATATTTCTTGTTGCACCCATTTCTGCTTTTTGTGGGCTTTATATGCTTCGCAAGAGCTTGAGTCTTTGACAGCCCACATACAGACTTTAAAACTCCTGGGCACTTGTTAGTTGGCGTCCTTAGATCTGTTATAATGATTTTGAGAGCGCACAAAGACAGCATTGATTCCCTAATGGAGCCATGATATACTTTGTGGAGGCATGTGCAGAAAATACTGTTGCATTCTTACTATCTTTACAGACTCACTGCTTGTAAAGCTTTTTAATTTGATGTGAAAAACCTGGATTTTTCAAGTGGATTCATGTGGGCTTATAAAGTAATTTGTGATGCTCTAAAAAACACAGTTAAATAGATTTCAAAGCACTTGAGCCAAAAGACATGTTTTATGGCTTGCCAGAATTCAGTTTGGTGGGAGACTGTTGCAAGGACACACAGAGTGGGGTAAACAAGATAAGGACAGAGATCAGAAAAACAGAAAAAAGCACATTAACCCTATATTTAAAGCTACACAATGTATTTTATTTCAAGCCAAATGGAGAAGCAGGACAAAAATAGAAAGCAGATGGTTTACTTGGTCTAATCTAAATTCACATCACACAGTCACATGGTATTATGAGACCTTTATGCAGAGACATGTAGAATACAGAAGAGGGCAAGGCACAATTCACTGATTTATTTCCATTTTTCTTAAAGCTGGGGAACTTGATTTCTCCCTCTTATAAATACTACATGTAGTGTCCATCCGAGAAAAAAAAGTCTTGTAAAAGTGAAACGTTGCGAATAAATCAGCCAACAACATGGAATTGTTTATGTCTTCATCGTTGTAGAAAACGTTTTTGTATACTTGTAAGAAAGAGCCCTATGAGTCACTTTTTGACTCTTGGAGCTGAGAGCTGATTGGCTGAGTGAGGGTGGTCTTCTCTTTCTCACTTTTCTGTCTGAAAAAATCGCATCTGAAATTGCAGAGACCAAACATACAGTACATGCATGTGTTAATTATTTTAAATGTTAATGTAATATGTTTTGTCACGTCCACAATTGAAAAAAATAAATAAAAGTCATATAACCAAACTACTTACTTTTTTTATTAGTCATAGATTTTTTTAAACTTAATCCTTGCTTCTTGATTATGCTAAAGTTGTTCCTTAATTTGCTAAAGTTAGGGTTTTTATTTTATTTTATTTAGTATAGAGGCATTATTCATTTATCTTGTGTTGTGTGGTCATCATTCCTACTGTTCTGTAACTTGTGATGCAACACTGAAATTTCCCCACTGTTAGACCAATAAAGGATCTCTTGATCTTAAACTATTTGAAGAGGAAGGAGTGAGTTACATGGATTTGATCTCATAGTTATTTTTTTCTGTTAATTGAAAGTTAGGTTCCCCAGCTTTAAATTGTAAACACATTTTTTTCTTTATATGTTTCAGGCAACATGGCGCCTCAAAAGACATTCCTATACATGCTGATTCTCTACTTGGACATAAGCTTTGCCCAAAGAGACTGCACCGGTGTGGACTGCCCAGAAATACACCGCTGCATCGAGACCACTTTGGAGAGCGGAGCCTGCTGCCCCACCTGCTCAAAGAGGGGCTGCACCTGCGAGGGCTATCAGTACTACGACTGCGTCCAGGCGGGATTCCGACGCGGGAAAGTCCCAGAAGGAGAGTCTTACTTTGTAGATTTCGGAAGCACAGAATGCTCCTGTCCCAGAGGCGGAGGTAACATCAGCTGCCGCTTCATCCCTTGCCCTGAAATCCCCGCAAACTGCATCGACGTCTCGCAGCCCGAAGACGGATGCCCGCAGTGCGCTAAGATCGGCTGCGTGCACGGTAACAAAAAGTATGACGCGGGGCATTCTTTCCAGATCCAAAGCTGTCAGGTTTGCCACTGTCCAAACGACGGGGGGAGTTTGATGTGCTCTATTGTTCCAGGATGTGTCAGAGAAAACAAGGGCCCATTGAAAGACGTCAGTCAGGCAAATAAAGCCAATTCTCCGTCCAATTTTGGAAACACATTACCTTTGTATAAGCCAGACCCACCCAATCCTGGCACAGCGGAGTCTGAATATACATTGGCGCAACCCACGTCTTCCACTCAAAACCTGGAACGACCGCTGGAATCTACTACATTACCACCTCACCAAGAGCAGACCGCCAATTCGCATGACGAGCGGAGACGTGAACCCAAGCCGACACATGGCAGGCCTAATCCAAAGCAAAGTAGCCACGCTCAAGTATCGCATAACACAAATCTAACAGTTAGCGAGGCCCAGGGAGAGGCGCTTCAAAAGGGCCAAACCTCACACGGGAAGACCACAGCCAGCCACAGACCACAGCCGGCGAGCACAGAGAGGTCTATAAGACATAACAGCGAGAGAAGCAACTCTACACGTGCACATAAGACCAGCAGGAACGCCGCCAAGCACCAGAAGCAAAGCCAAAACGGTCAGTCGGTGAGGAAAGAGCAAGAGGAAAGGCCCCATCCCGCCATACAGTTCAGCCCCACCACCAAGCCTCCAGTTCGGATGAGGGATTTTGGACAGCAGCCAAAAAGACTTGCCCAGACACTTCTCAACTCTCAAGATGCGGAAGGTAAGACTTTTGACGTTTGACTTTTTGTTTTGTTTCGAAGAAATCAAACCTAACTGCTTATTCATGCAGTGGCAGATTTTGACACTCTTTAGTCACATCCTGTCTACGCTGAAAGAATGATGTGTTTGGCACCATGCTCAGAAAAAAAAAAAAAACACAATTCCCCATTCTGTTTTCCCCAGATAGGATTTATCAGAAAAACACTATATTTAGAGTTAATGAGTTAACTTTGAACCAACTGTTTTATAAATGGTGGAAAGTTATCACCTTGAAGCTCCCATATCCAACAGGAACAGCGGAATTAGCAATTATTCTTTCTTTATGACCGCTGAGCTAAAGCTTTATAGTTTATAGTTATATTAATCAGGTATTAAACAATGTATTTCCATGACTGAGTGACTGCTATGGACGAAGGAAATCTTAATTGGATAATAAATTCTTTATATTTTATGGTACAATGGTAAAGTTGAAAATAATTGCATTTAGTCATGGATGTCAGTCATAGGGTTCGCTCAAATATGGTTGGAATACAGACGGTTACATAATGCAGTATTCAAGCTGGAAAAAGTGACAAATATATGTACAGTACGTTCATAATGGCTTGAATGTGGTTGTATTTAACTTAATTTAAAGCTGGGGTGCCTGACTTTCAACACACAAAGAAATGTGATAAAAGCCAATTTACTTGTTCCATTCATCCATCCATCTCCCATCTTCCATCTACAATTTACAAAGCACCAGCTCCTCACTGATCCTCCTGCGGGTGGGGAGTTCAGCAGGGGCTTCAGGCAAAGTGGGGTTAAGTGTCTTGCCCAAGGACACAACGACAGCAGACATCAGTGGGAGTCGATGGAGAAGGTCTTGTGGTGTGCTCAAATCCACGACCCTTAGGCCCCACGGTCGGTTTGGATCTATCACTGGTTTTCACGTTTGTGTAGTTTTGGCCTCTGTCACATCTTTAAATCTCTCAGATCTAAAAGTGAAAATAGTCTAAAAGTGACCCCCAGAGCTCTTTCTTACACATTTTTTTAGATGAAGACAGCATGTTGTGGTCATTTTTGCTGAAAGGAAAGCAAAACTGCTGCTCACCAACATGATTTGTTTTCTGACTGGGTCTTTGATGTGACCATGTTTCTTTTGACCTGCGTAAAGGGGAAGAGCACAGACCATTACGGCAAGACGGAGCAGGGAAGAATGCGGATTGCTTTCTCTCACATTGTCGTTTTAGATCAATATTGAGATTAAAAATTTACTAAATGTAGGAACTATGGGTGAGGTTTGCCAGCAGACCAGAAGCTTGGAATCTACAATACTTGAAAGTTTACACGCCCGGGCAGAAATCCGATTATTTTGAACAGATTTCAGAGATTATGAAATATATTAGTGATTATGTTAAGCCGTTTACTGTCAAATAAACGTGTTCTATATGTTTAAATTAAGTATAATAACAACAGACACTCCTCTTCTGACCCTGATTCAAAGTCTCCATCTCCCAGTTCTCAATAGCTCATATTTCCCCTTTAAAGGAGACGTGTAAAGATTGACCTGAAGTTGTTTTTAGAACATTTAGAACTTCTTGCAAAAACATCTGCCCCCTCTGTCTGAAATCTCCTGTCTCAGTCTTAATATGTCTATAATGGTATGATGTCATTGAACCTTTTTGTCATCACACTTCTAAAACCCAAGTTGTGCCCTTACATTTGTTTTGGTAACTTCTCATCTCAAATGGCATCCTTTACACTCACATGTCTGTGTTTGCAGCCAGTAATTTTGTTGAAAAAAACAAACAAAAAACAATTAATCTCCTCCCCCTGTTGGTAGAATACGGATAGGATTATTGACCTTTTGACACCTTTTTCACCATATATTATCTACTGACAATATGACAAAGTAAATAGTCTCAATATGATGGTCAAAAAGAATGCGTAACATTTCCTCTTTAACACCGAGGTTAAAGTCTTCTGTGGCCGTTATGGATGAGGTTCTTTATCTTCTCTGATGGTGAAGCTGCACATTCTTCTGGGAAAAAGCCTCCAGTTGCTGTAAAGGTCTTGGCTGCCTTACATGGACTCCAAGAGATCTCCACAGATCAGCTCAAGGATGTTATAATCTGAAAGTAGAAATCACTGTTGCGCCACTTGCATGTGTGACTTCTGAAGCTAAGCAGGGCAGGGCCTGGTTAGTGCTGTGATGGGAGACCTCTCTGTGGCAACACCAGGTGCCACAGTGGGGCCGCTGTTCCATAGGCAAGACACTTCACCCACATTGTCTCGAATAAGTCTTGTGTTTGTGTGTGTGAATGGTTAATGGTGGTTGGAGGGCACATACTGGTTGCCTCGCTTCTGCCAGTGTGCCTCAGGACAGCTATGGCTACAGTAGTAGTTAATCACTACTGTGTATGAAGTGAAAGAATAATACTGTGAAGCATCTTTGAGTGTCCAAAAACGCACTGTATTAAACCAATGCATTACGATTATTAACTGTAACATCTCCTCTAAGTAGTTGAAACAAAGAAAAGTTGAGGGCACACAATAAAACATACAATTCACTGCATTCCACGCTCACATAAATACTCCTTTCTCCGCTCTTGTCATGTTCTTGGCTGATGGTGGTTGCATTTAGTCTGGCACATGCACAGTAGTCCAGAGGTGCTGCTTTAACCCTCTTTAACAGCTCTGTGTGACTGCTGTTGAAACGTGTCTGCTCTCTCTGGCTTTCAGCACCTGGCCTCCATAGGTATGTACTGTCTAGTGTTGGAAATAGAGAGACCTGTCAAAGCCATTACCACTACAAAGGGCGACTATAAAGAGGGCTGATGGACAAACTGTTTTCTTTCACTGTTTGCACATTTGGAGGTGGAATGTTATGGCCCTGGATCAGGCAGGAAAAATGTGTGGAACAGATATTTTTACATCTAAAACCAGTCTATGACATGTATGAGTGCGTGCTTTGGAAGAATATATGTGTTCTGTGATGCTTCTGTGGTGGTAGGACACAAGTTGGACTTTATTAGCTAATTGGCAATACCCAATGAAAATATTCAAGATGAACTGGGAATAAAATAAGTTATATGGGGCCTGTTTACATTATTTTTCAATCATTATTTTTGCATTCAGCCCTAAATCAGAAAAGCAGTAGCAGATCAGAGAATCAAAAATGTCAAACACTGGAAATGCAATGATAACAAACACATTAGAACCAATGGATCAATGTCCATCAATGTCATTAAATGTCCCAGATCATCACTGTCCTTACACCCTCCCACTTCGCCAAGGAGCAACTGAAGTGAGAACCTCATTGATGGGATCCGCTCCCACAGATGGACAGGGTCTAGATCCAGTTTGATCATATTTGCTTAAACATTGCATAACATATTTTTGCTTACGAGAGGCAGGGTGGTTCAGGGGTGTCCAACATTTTTAGTGAGAGGGCCACTTTAGGGAACCAGCTGTTTTGACTGAATTCAGGTAAAAATAATTAATCTCCATCTGGTGGTAGAACATGGATAGGGCAGGCTGTTAGCATTATTTACCCTTTGATACTTGTTATAGTATATTTTCCACTGAAGATATTATTTCACATACAAAACATATGACATAACAAAGTAAATAGTCTTATTATAAAAGAATGCATAACATTTCCTCTTTAATGGAGTCTTTTGTGGCCGTTATGGATGAGGTTCTTTATCTTCTCTGATGGTGAAGCTGCACATTCTTCTGGGAAAAAGCCTCCAGTTGCTGTAAATGTCTTGGCTGCCTTACATGGACTCCAAGAGATCTCCACAAATCAACTCAATGACATTATAATCTGAAAGTAGAAAACACGTTTCTTTGACAATAGACGACTTCACGCAACCACTAACGATGAAAACTGTTTGCGTTATCATTCAGGGGCGTGTGAAGTGCCGAGGTGTTGTTATGTTATTATCAAACTAGTATCAAAACATTTTTATATATAAGTAATTCACAAAGCACAAAATTGGTATTGAGTATTTTTTTCCAGTATTGAAATAGAGATTTATATAGAGGTATAGCAGTCTGAATTAAAGGGGAAGTTGGCTGGACGATCTCAATAGGTACTTTGACGTAGCAAGGCACAGAATATGACGCTGAGGACTGGATATTTAAAAAGACATGACATACTTTTTACTGGAGTGTGTAAAAGACAAGGTAACGCAACTAAAACATAGTTGAAAATTGTGAAAAGACTGTTTCCTTTTAGTGGTAAGTTGCGTGACAAATCTGGAAGCCACTATTATTGTACATGAAATAGGGAATTGAGAACAAATAGATCCTCCCCCTTCTCCCCTCCCTGTGAAATTCTGGTGTTGCAATATTGAGATTTCAAATGTATTTCAGTGTGTTGTGCTTAAAATGATCACTCCAGTAAAAAAAAAAAAAAAAGTTATGTTATTTCTAAACCTGGTCTAAAACAAAATGAGGAGTAGTCAATACACCAGGCTAAGTCCTCAGCTTCATGTATGAGCCTTGCCAACTCCAAGTACCCACTGAGATCATCCAGCCAACTTCAGCTTCAATGTAGGCATGCCATACCCCATTGTAGTCACTATACTACACATTGTTGACACTAGAAAACAGAATACTCAATGTCAATGGACTCTGAGGTAGAGACTGAGGCAGAGACTGAGGCAGAGACTGAGGCAGAGACTGAGGCAGTGACTGAAGCAGAGACTGAGGCAGAGACTGAAGCAGAGACTGAGGCAGAGACTGAGGCAGAGACTGAGGCAGAGACTGAGGCAGTGACTGAAGCAGAGACTGAGGCAGAGACTGAGGCAGAGACTGAAGCAGAGACTGAGGCAGAGACAAGCAGAGACCGAGGCAGAGACTGAGGCAGAGACTGAGGCAGTGACTGAGGCAGAGACTGAGGCAGTGACTGAAGCAGAGACTGAGGCAGAGACTGAGGCAGAGACTGAGGCAGAGACTGAGGCAGAGACTGAGGCAGAGACTGAGGCAGAGACTGAGGCAGAGACTGACATGAGA